TTAAAAAGCAAACGTCATCGCTAAACGCAACGCTGACCGCCACCGCCGCCTAGTCACGTACCAGTCAGGGGATTACGTACTGCTCGAGACACATAACTTTAGACTGCCCGTCGTACCAAAATTACAACCGCGCTACTGTGGACCATTTCAAATCAGCCACATGATCACCCCAATTACCGCCCACTTACTGTTGCCGACAGAGAGGTACATCAGCCCATCATTCCACGTTAGCCTGTCAGAATATTATGCTCTAGCCTGTAGTGGGGTGCTCTATAGCGAGTACAACCCTTCTAGGGTTTGCTATTTGTATCCTCATTCTTGCTAGTGCAACTCCTTCTATGCCTAAACTGTTTCTTGCCTAGCTAGGGCTTTCCTAGCTATGGCGCCTTCTTCTACTGCTCAACTTCACATGGTATTAGAGCGATATGCTCCTGGCCTGTGGGCCCCACCTCACTGCTTCCGCTACTACTGCTACTCCCTGTCCGCCGCGCGCCCCGTGGTGCGCGGCGTCGAAATTAGGGTTTTTCAGCCCGCCGTGCGCCCCGAGGCGCGCGGCGGTTTTCTGCCCGCCGTGCGCCCCGAGGCGCGCGGCGGTTTTCTGCCCGCCGTGCGCCCCGAGGCGCGCGACGGGTTTCTGCCCCGTCACTCGGCGCGTCGCCCCCAGGAGGCGCTACGACGGGCGACGGGGACCCGCGCGTCGCCCCCCGTCGCCCGTCGTGGCCTGCGCGCGGCCCGTACAGCCGGCGCGCGGCCCGTACGGGCTGCGCCAGGCCCGCGCGCGGCCCGTACGGGCTGCGCCAGGCCCGCGCGCGGCCCGTACGGACTGCGCCAGGCCCGCGCGCGGCTCGGGCCGCCTGCGCGCGGTTCGGGAGGCTGTGCCAGGCCCGTGGGCGGCCCGTTCTTCGCTGCCCCTGTCCTCCCCGCTGTCCCCCGTGCTTCTGAAGGCGCCCCACCCCTCCTTCTGCCCGTTCTCCTGGATTAGGGTTTGGGGGTGGGGGGTGTGGGGGTGCAGCTTCTGTGTGCCGTTCCCTGCTCCTCCTCCTCCTCCGTCTCCCTGTGCTGCAGCTGCCGCTGAAGGGGGGTGGACCTGTTGGAGCCGTCGGAGTGGTACTAAGGGGGGGTGAAGGGGGAGTGGAGCTAGGGGTGAAGCAGGGGGTGTGTGTCAGGGGGGGTGGTACTGTTTGGGGGAGGTTGAACGGAGGTTGCCGTCGTGTCGCCAGCAGCACCTGTAGTCCGGGGAGTTGCTCCGGTAGCCCAGTCGTAGCCACCTGTGCCAGTCGCCCGTGGGTCCGTTGCTCGTCTGCCGCTACTTTTAGCCGCGGGGCCAGTTACTCCAGTAGTCCGGAGCGCTGTTCCGGTAGCCGCTGTGCCAGTGTGCCTCCTGTTGCCCGTGTGTCTGCAGCTTCAGCCGTCGCCTCCTATCTCCTCTCCTCTCACTGTCCCTCCTCCTCCTCACTTGCCCGTTGTGACTACCACTAGATTTGCTCATAATTGTGAACTTTAAACTATTGCTTCCTGAACTTGTGCTCAGAATGTGTGGTGACATTGTGATCCACCCTGAGCTTGTTCTGCTTTGCTTGCTCTGCTGATTACACCCCACTTTGGCTATGGGGGTGTGTCAGAATATTATGCTCTAGCCTGTAGTGGGGTGCTCTATAGCAAGTACAACCCTTCTAGGGTTTGCTATTTGTATCCTCATTCTTGCTAGTGCAACTCCTTCTTCTTTGCCTAAACTGTTTCTTGCCTAGCTAGGGCTTTCCTAGCTATGGCGCCTTCTTCTACTGCTCAACTTCACATAGCCTGCTTCACCCTTACATCCAGGGCCTTAGAAGTCAGCGAAAAAAGGCTGATTAGGGTTAAAAAGGCTGTGTTTTCCGTGCTGGGGAGATAGTGGGGCTGATTTGTCAGCTTTTTTTTTAGTGTGTGGGCTGAAGTTTCGGTTTCTTTTTCTGTGTAAGAGCTGATATTTCAGCTTTTTTCCTTTAGTGTACACTGTCTGACGAGCGTCTTAACGGGAAGGTTGGCTGAAATCTCAGTAATGGAGATTCGCGTAGGTGCGCCGAATTTGGTTTTATTTATGGCACTGTACACCAGTTCGACAGTCCCGCCGTCAATCACGCCGAATTTGCGGGTATCCCCGGATATGTTATACCAGGCATTGATTCTCCTCTCACAAGTGTTCCAAAACCTCAGGAGTCGAGCAAGACTCACAAGAGACTCACCTCCACCCACTTCCCGTTCCCACGCGTCCCTTGGCTTGTCCCTTTGGCCGTTAGTCTACCCTTTCACCCCACGCCTTTGTTTGATAATAGACACTTACGTCGCTTTACTCCCAACGCAGTTTCCTCATTCGCTGACACACGTGCTACCCATGCATGCCTATTCCTAAGCCCGCGCCTGCTCGTTGCCGCGCCGTCACCTGCGCCGTGACGCCTGCTCTTTCCCGCCGTCTGCGCCTGCTCGTCGCCGATGCCTGCTTGCTCGCTAAATTCCCTTCGCCTGCGCCTGCTCGTCCCTAATACCAGTTCGTTGCTGTCGCTACACCAGCTCGTCGCCGCGGCGTCGCTGCGGTTCTCCATGCCGTGTTGTCGCATTTCTTCGACCCAGTGCTATCGTTTCCTCTCGTCCACCGCCCTATTTGCACTTCTACACATTTCCTGCTTCAACTCACCTATCTCTTCCACGCTCCCGTCCCACATACCCGTTTCCCCCCTTCCCCTCCCACCCTTTTTGGTGCGTGCTCAGCTCTTGACAGCTCTCTGTTGCACTGATGATCTATTCCCTCTCCTCTATACCCTCGCTTTCCCCCTCCCCACCTACCTCTCCCTTTTGAACTCTCCCATCTCTTCGTTGCTCCCAAGCCGTGCAGTTAGGAGCAGAGCTGGTGCACTCGCTGATCTTGGCCGCCATCGAGTGTGTGCACAACGCACAGGGGGAAGGGGGGGAGGGGGGGTGAGCAGCACGAAAACAATCTTGGCCGCACCTGTGCTAAGCTCCCTGCATAGGAGCAAAGCGATAATGACGTACCGCCCTAAAACATGTGGTTGCAATTGTCTGTAGGAAAAAAAAAAAAAAAAAACAGCCTTTTATTTTCAATGACACTGATGTTCCAACGTTTTTCTCTAGGTAACTCTGTTTTTTCAACATTTTTTTTTTGCTAAGATTGATTCATTAGCCTACATTGGTGTACCAAGGCTGATGAATCAGCCAACCTCAAAAAGAATCTGAGGCCTTACATCCCAAGCACGAGCCAACTGCCTCGTCACCGCCCGCCATCCATGACTCGCCCTGCATCGGAGCCGATCATCGAGCCTGAAAAAAATCGGAGCCATCGGATTCGGCACCCCACAGGCATCAAGAGGATCGAGTTCCTCGTTCGCTGGAAGGACTGCACGCCAACTGAGAATAGCTGGGTGCCCCTGGCCAACATCGAAAACCACCCTGCCCTGCAAGTGTACCTGAGGAGCCGGGGTTTCCGCGATATACACACACTCGCGTAGCGGAGGGGGCTTCTTAAGGGGGGGGGGGGGGGTAGTGTAAGGAATTTTCTCGCTATTCCTTACCGCGACCGTCCACATTGCGTACATCAGCAGCCGTTGTTCGCCCGTTACTGCTAACGGGGCTTCGCCAACTTCACGCGCACTGTTTCACCAAACCTCGCACTGCTGGAAGCAGCCGAGTCGGCTACGCTTCGGGAATAGCCCGAACCTCGCGCCAGCGTAGCACTAGCTAGCTCGCATGCACCGCGTTACTGTTTGCACATTTTCGCGTATAAGTATTCGCTCATGCCTTCGCTCATATTTTGTACTCATTGAACACTCTAGTGTAATCCTCGCTACCTCGATTCATTGCACCCGTAACACCAGTGCACAACGGGCTCTGCATACAACACCAATCTGCAAAATCGAAGGGTCGCATCGCAACTGTGGTATCTAGGTAATTCAGTGAATCTGGTCCAACACAACAGCCAACAAAAATAGAATAATATCCATAAAAACAACTCAGGCCCATTCCATTCCATCATGCAGCATAAAACGCTTTACAAAACACGGCAGTTGTTTTTCTTGCCTAACGCGTGGAACCTTGCTTATTCTTTCCATAGGACACGTTCAGCCAATGTGGACCAAAAGTCCCTGTAACTCTTCACGATTTGTCCACTACAGAGATTCACATGAATCTCTCCACGGAAAAAAACGTTTCTAATCACCAGAGCTTCTCCTCACGCTGAAGCAGATTGAACCCAAAACCGAGAGTCGAGGAGCGACGTAAGGATGGCCTTGAGAGTTTTCTGGATGGAAAATAAAAATGGCAGCAAATAGTAAGGCACATTGTATGACCCACATGTAACAGAAATCAACCTTGAATAGTCGACGGGGAGGCCACACACGGCCTTGGAGAGCGGTTTGGAGCAATGCAAAGATGGCATGTGGGTTGAGATGGCATGTGGGATGAGATGGCATGTGGGATGAGATGGCATGTGGGATGAGATGGCATGTGGGATGAGATGGCATGTGGGATGAGATGGCATGTGGGATGAGATGGCATGTGGGAGGAAATGACATGTGAGATGAGATGACAAGAGGGGGCAATGCAGCCATGCCCACTTGAGCATGGTACCATGTGGATTAATGTAACCGCGGCAACACATGGCACCATGCCCACTTCAACTCCAGCCTGTCTCGCCTCCACCCGCTCAGCAACAAGAGAACCATTGTCTCAACTGCAAGTGGTTATTGAGCCCCAGGGATAGCAGCAGCGGCCTCACAGCCGCCTGTTTATGAGGCGCCTAAAAAAACCGTCTCACGACTCGCGGTTTTTATATGGAGAGAATTTTGAGGTGCCTCAGAAACCTGCGAGTGGTTATAGCAGCAGCGGCCTTGCAGCCGCCTGTTCCGTACCCCCTTCCCCCCTGCCTTCCCCTCCACCCCTGCAGCAACAAGCACAGCACTGACTCACCTGCGTGTGACTCTTGAGCCCCAGGCACAGCAGCAGCGGCCGGGTCACTCCCTGTTGGCTGATGGAATGGGGGAAGGCGGAACGGGAAAAGGGGAAGGTGAATGAGGGAGATCAAGTGGAGAGAGGGTGATTGTGGGAGGAGAAAGGGTGAAGGGGAATTCTCGAGCGAAAGAGATCTGAGTAAAGGGACACGGAGTTGGGTGTCGGTATCAAGTGGAGAGCACATGCTGGTATGAGAGGAAAGGCTTCAGGGAGGGAGGAGTACGCGCACAGGGGGTGAGGGGAGTACGCCCGAAGGGGGTGAGAGGAGTACGCGTGAAGAGGGTGAGAGGCGAGCAAGGCGAGGAGAGTGGTGTGAGAGAGGAGGGCGGTGAGTGGAGAACGGTGAGAGGAGGAGGAGAGAAGGGGACACAGACCTGAGTGTCTCTATGAGGTAGCGTGCACATGCTGCCATCAGTGGCTGCTCAGGGAGAGAGGAGGGAGGGAGAGAGAGGAGGGAGGGAGAGAGGAGGGAGGGAGAGAGAGGGGGAGGGGAGTGGGAGGGGAAAGAAGGGGAAGGGCAGAGAGGGGGATTAAAGAGGGAGTGGAGAGGGAAGTGCGAGGGAGGGGAGATGGAGGTGAGAGGGAGGCATGAGGCATGAGGAGGCGCACCGCACCGCACCGCACCTCACCTCGCTTCAGCTCAGCTCACCTCACCGCACCTCACCTCACCTCACCTCACCTCACCTCACCTCACCTCACCTCACCTCACCTCACCTCGCCTCACCTCACCTCACCTCACCTCATCCTTTCATCCCAGCAGCACCTCGAGGCATGAGGAGGGCAGCAATGATAGTTTGAACACCAAGCTCCCTTGCATCCCCCCCGCCTTCCCTCTCCCTTTCGCTGCTCATCCCGTCCCACCACGCACTACCACATCTGACCGCACCTCACCGCACCTCACCAAGCCTCATCACACCGCGCCGCACCTGGCCTCACCTCGTCCATTCTCCCCAGCAGTACTGACACGTTGAGCACAGAGCTCCCTTCCATCCCATCCCACCACGTGCTACCGCATCTCGTCTCCCCTCACCGCACCTCACCTCGTCCCTTCTTCCCAGAAGCACTGACACGTTGAAAAAAGAGCTCCCTTTCATTTCTCCCTTCTGCCCTCTCCCGTCTGTTGCTCATCCCATCCCATCCCATCCCACCACGTGCTTCCACATCTCACCCCATCCCACCCCACTGCATCTCACTGCACCTCACCTCGTCCCTTCTCCCCAGCAGTACTGACACATTGAAAACAGAGCTCCCTTCCATCCCTCCCATCTGCCCTCTCCCTTCCGCCCCCCCCACTTGCTCCCGCCTATAGAGGAGAACAGGTGAGGGGCGGAACAAAGGAAAAAGGTTAAACAAAGTGGGTGGGGAGCAGGGGAGCGTGAAGCAGGGGAGGGTGAAGCAGGGGAGGAGCAGGGAAGGGTGAAGCACAGGAGGGGGTAAACAGGAGAGGGAAAAAGAACGAAGGGGCCGAGCAGGGGAGGGAGGAAAGAAAGAAGAAGGGGGGGAGCGGAGGGCGGAAACAAACAGGTGAGGTTGAAAACAAAGAAGAGGGAAAACAGCGGGGCCCATCCGCCCATGCTCCCTCTGCACCCATCCATGCTCCCTCTGCACCCATCCACCCCCATCCACTCACCTGGCACACAGCATGATACCCAGCGTGCCAATCCCAGTCAACACCACCTGAATCACCTCTATATACCTCTGTATCCCTCTACATCGCTCTACACCCCTCCATGCTCCCTCTGCACCCACCTCGCATACAGCATGGTTCCCAACGTGCCAATCTGAGTCACCACCACCTGTAGCAGGGAGGGAAGGGAGGCAGAGGAGGGGGAAGGGAGGCAGAGGAGGGGGAAGGGAGGCAGAGGAGGGGGAAGGGAGGCAGAGGAGGGGGAAGGGAGGCAGAGGAGGGGGATGGGAGGCAGAGGAGGGGGAACGGAGGCAGAGGAGGGGGATGGGAGGCAGAGGAGGGGGATGGGAGGCAGAGGAGGGGGATGTGAAGAGACGCAGGGGGGAGAGAGTAGGAGAGCTTCTAAACATGAGAGGGTGATAGCGAGCGACAATAATGGTAACCAGGAATGATGGCAAACGGGGATCAGAAAGTTGGCCAAACGACATGAATGATGGCCAAACGACATGAATGATGGCCAAACGACATGAATGATGGCCAAACGACATGAATGATGGCCAAACGACATGAATGATGGCCAAACGGCATGAATGATGGCCAAACGGCATGAATGATGAGAAAGCCGGAGGCGAGAATTGGAATCCGCAGGGGATGAGAAGTGAAAGGAAGCCGAAAATGTGGTTGTGTGTGAACACGGGGGAATGAGGGAGGGCGTGTGGTGTGTGTGTGTGCGTGGTGGAGGCAGGATGAAAGCGAAAGTTGCAGAAAGCAGGTTTGCAACACAGCTTGAGACTGAGAGGAGGTGGGGGGGCGGGAGCAGGCAGGCAGCAGAGCAAGGGGGTGGGGAGGGGCGGGAGCAGGCAGGCAGGCAGGCAGCAGCAGCAGCAGCAGCAGCAGCAGCAGCAGCAGCAGCAGCAGCAGCAGCAGCAGCAGCAGCAGCAGCAGCAGCAGCAGCAGCAGCAGCAGCAGCAGGGGCAGCAGGGGCAGCAGGGGCAGCAGCAGGGGAGGCACGGTGTAGGCACCATTAGGCGGTCGTCGTATGAGAGGCAGAGAAAGGTGGTTGCCGTGCCCTGATGGCCGGGGACGGGCGAGGATGGGCGCAGATGGGTGGGGATGGGTGGGGATGGGCGGGGATGGGCGGGGATGGGCGGGGCAACATGTGGGGTTGAAGCATGTGAGCATGTTGTTGCTAGTGTTGGGTGCTCATGCGATCTCCCCCCCCAATGGAGGAATGGAGACACGTGGGTACGCCCATGTGCGCCCATTTGCCACAACGTGCACCCATGTGCGACCATGTGCGCCCATGTGCGCCCATGTGCGCCCCATGCAACTTGAAAGGAAGCTTGGTGTTGCAAGTGTGGAGTGCTCGTGCCATTCTTTCCATGGAGGCGTGGAGACACGTGCGCCCACGTGCGCCCACGTGCGCCTATGCAAGCCTATGCGCGCCGATGTGTGCCGTGCCGATGTAAGCTTGGTGTTGCAAGTGCTGGGTGCTTGTGCGGCCCCTCCCATGGATGTATGGAGGCACGTGCGCTGAGGTGCGCCTATTTGCCCTTATGTATGCATCTGCCCGCCTGTGCGCGCGTGTATGCGCCTACGTGCGCGTGTATGCATCTATGTGCGCGCGAGCACACGTCTGCGCTCTTCTGCGCGCACCTCGATATCCGCGCTGAACTGCTTCGACCGCACAGGAAACTTCGCGCCGCTTTCGCCGCCAATCCCTCCCCCGCCTGCTGTCACTCCGCCCTCCCCCGTCGCCCCCATGCTGGCACAGAACCTCCCCCTTCCCCCCCACTCCCCCCTCTTCCCCGCGTTTCCCCCCTTTCCCCGCGTTCCCCCTTGCGGTTGTCAAGATCCGATTGCTTCCCCCCTGCCAATCGACGGTGGGCTTTCGAGGCGCCCAAACAGTCGAATTCCCGTACACCTCCCTACTAGATCTTCGCGTAGATTAGTATTTATTACGTTCCCTCTGCCACTCAGGGACAAATGAAGCGGTGCTAATCAGGAGGCACTGACTGACGTCAGCACTAGGACGCGTGGTTTACAAATGCGAACGTGGACAGTTGCACTATGACGCGAAGCTGGGGAACGTTACGGATGGCTTATTGAGTCGAGGTCATTACGACGCGAACGCGGACTAGGACGTGAAGCTGAGGAGAGGACCGTCACGAATGGGCACGTGTGTTGGACATGTGTGTTGGTCACGCGAATGAGAGCTACGCTTCACTAGAAGCGCTACGCTAGGGCGCACCGTGTTGGGTTCGCTCACTGCTATGGTGTGACGGAAGAGTGCCGTAGATTGCGACAGGATGCGCTGCGGTTGGGATGGAATGAACATTGCTGGTTCCTGCTGGATCAGGACTTGGAAGGATACGATCAGGTGCGGCAATACCACCCAAGGTTTTATTCACTGAACGCGGATTTGTAGGTGTGGAGTAGGCCGAAAAGATTTTGAAGGACCAGGTTGCAATTTACGGGCTTATCAACCAGGCAATGTGCTTTAGCGAATGTTGCGAAATATGCAGCATGTAGGCTGGTTGGTCAGGGAGTTAAAACCAGGGTGCACATTCAATTGGATTTCTGTCAAAGGTTAACCTTTGACCTCGGGGTTACTCAGTTATTTAGGAATATCTGGGGGGAGTGTTCGCTTCAGCAGGTGAACATTTGAACCCTCGAGATTTGGCAAATGTATACCGAAGTCATCGAATGTGCTTCCGCCAATTCGTTTCCCCCCTCCCCATACCTATTCCGCTCCCACCGAAATTGTTTCCCCTTCCCCCACAATATCGTCTCACCCCCTTTCCCCTTTCCGCCAACCCAGTTGCCCTCCCCTTGATCCCCAATTTCTAGATCCAAGTGTTATCAATTTCTCCCCTGCCAAGCCTCATCTCTCACGGACGAAAAGCCCCATGCTCGCCCATTCTCAACTATTTATTCGCTACTCGTCAACCAATCAGCAGTTCCCGCAAACATGCCGCCCAAAATTTAGCCTGGAGTCGCGTTGAATGTGTACCCTGGTTTTAAGACTTGGCTTGCCCATTAAGTTGGATGGGCGAAACAATCTCGCGACAACAACTGACATCTTCAGGTAACCAGACAGGACATCAGCTTTTGAAAATTCTATGTTACACGCTCTACATTCAACGGTTCTGTGTATAAGAAACCCGAAATTCGACCATTCGATATTGTCAAGCCTTGGAACCTATGTTCAATACGACTTGCCAAGCAATTGGCACAGCAAACGCTAAACAAACTTAGCTCTTATTCGGTTACCGAGGTCTTCGTTATTAGCCGGCTTCTGCACCAGCACTACCTTTCCGCCTGTCTGCTGGTGGAACCATTTGCTGATGCATCAGTTCCGCCAGTCCTCGACTTGAGCTTGCCCGCAGCTGCAATCACTTTCAAGGCATCCGCGTTTCAAGACGCGTCAAAACTCGTTTAGCGACGCTCACTCCCAATTACCCTCTTCACGCCACCTGTCATTTGTGCGATGTCCGCTGCTAGGCCTGATGGTGGCCGGCCTGGGGCGGACGGCGACGCTGCCGATGACACGTGCTGCGCGCGGTTAGAATTGACGGCTGAAAGCGAGGCGAGCCGTCTGTACGTGCTATCGCGGTGGGGAGAGGCGCGCTGCGAGCTGACTGTCAGCGACGGCCGCTCTGCTTGGACGGGCTGCGGTCAGTCAGTCAGTCAGTCAGTCAGTCAGTCAGTCAGTTCGTCAGTTAGTCAGTCAGTCAGTTGGTTCGTCAGTCAGTTAGTCAGCTCGTCAGTCAGTCAGTCAGTCAGTCAGTCAGTCAGTCAGTCAGTCAGTCAGTTCGTCAGTCAATCCGTCAGTCCATCAGTCATTTAGTCAGATCGTCAGTCAGTCTGTCAGTCAGTCCGTCAGTCAGTCACGGCCGCTCTGCTTGAACGAGCTGCAGCGAGTGAGTGAGTGAGTGAGTGAGAGAGTGAGTAAAGTGAGTGAGTGAGTGAGCAAGTCAGCCAGTCACTCAGTTGCTGCAGGACTTGGTGGCAGGCAGTGGGGTTAAATAGACTGCTTCGTTCGTTTCTCCACTCCATCTCCGCAACAGCCTCCCCTTTCGGGACGTCTCTAAAGTTCTCCACTGCATTTCTGCTACAGCCTCCTCTGTTGAGACGTCTTCATAATTCTTTCACTTTATCTCTGCTACAGCCTCCCCCTCGCCCACTCTCGTCATCCCTCTCGAATTCATGGGCAGTGGAGGAGGAGGAGATGTGGGAGAAGGCTGAGGCATGGGGGTTTCAGTCGCCAGGTGAATACAACAGAGACGTGCTCCGAGCGGCTTTGGCACAGGTGAATTCAACAGACACGTTCTATCAGCAGCTGTTACTCTTACTATACGTTCCCACCGAAGAAGCACCACTTAGGTGCACCACAGCATCCATCAGATCTCCCCACCCCACCACCTGGGAATCATTTTCGAGGCGTTTCAGAAGGCGATTTTTGAGGCGCCTCAAAAACCACCGAAGCACCACTTAGGTTCCACGACATACATTGGATCTCCCCACCCCACCACCTGGTTTTGAGTCGACTCAAAAATATCGGCAGCTGTTACTCTTACTATACATTCCTGCCGAAGCACCACTTTGGTTCCACAGCATCCATCAGATCTCCCCACCCCACCACCTGGGAATCATTTTTCTAGCAGCTGAGGAAGCCATTCCTTCTTTCACTCTCCATTCTTATTCCCTCATTCGCTTTCGTTTCGCATCCGCACCTTTCTTTTCCTCCTCTCCTCTCGTCCCTCCCCTTCCCCACCAGCCATCTATATCTCTCCGTTTCACATGGGGACGGCGCACCAAGAGAGCCCGGGCCTCTCAAGAGCAGCCTGCCACGTGGCAGGTGCGCATTGGATGCCTGTTGGGCTGAGCTGAGGGACTGTACCTGATTGGATGGCTGTATCTGACTGGATAACTTAGTCTGCGAGTGTGCACTTGAGAGCTCTCGATCAGGTCAAATCTCATCAACACATCACTCCATTCAGAACGTCTTTCTGTGACTCGTGGATAGCGCAGCATTTGCAATCAGCAGAGAAGGTGGCATCTTCACGTTTCATCGAGTCTCTTCTCCTTAATATATATATTTTGCCGAATGGCTTGCATGAGCAGTGCAATGGTCAAGACTAGAGATGAGAGTGACTGTAGAGATCATTTAGTTTGATTAAATTCGCCTGAGAGGGACTGTGGTGTGGAGGTGAGGGCATTGGTACTGGCGAGTGCAAAGGAAATGGTGACGTGGAAATCACGTGGTGGTTATTGGGCAAAAGCAGTGGTGTGACACGGTCAAACGTGATCGTCACCCATGTGAACCGTCTCATTAATCCCCATTCCCCCCCCTCTTCCCCCCCCCCTCCCCCCTCCCCCCTCCCCGTTTGCTCCCCGCTCCCACCCCTTCCCCCCGCCTCTCCCCTTTTTTCTCAGCTCTCATGGGAAGTGCAGCTGACAGACTGGGAGATGCGGGCGAGTGTATAATCCCCTTATAATTCCTCCCCATTCCCCCCTCCTTCCTCGCCTCCTCTCCGCCTTTGCATGCAGCTCTCATGGGCAGTGCAGCGGACAGACGTGGGGATGAGGCCGAGTGTGCAGCTGAGAGCGGTGGAGGGCGAGCAGCAGCAGCAGTGGTGGCCTGGCTATCCTTACGGTTCCTCCCTATCCCCTCCTCCTCGTTGCATGCAGCTCGCATGAACGGTGCAGCGGACAGGGCTGGAGATGCGGGCGGGCGGTGGAGGGCGAGGAGCAGCAGCAGTGGTGACCTGGCTATCTGTACAGTTCCTCCCCATCCCCCCTCCTCCCCATCCCCCCCATCTCAGCTCGCATGGGCAGTGCAGCGGACAGACGTGGAGATGCGGGCGAGTGTGCAGCTGAGAGCGGTGGAGGGCGAGGAGCAGCAGCGGGCAGCGGTGGGACGGATACTCGATGAAGCCATGAGAGGGGTGGCTGTTGCACAGGTGGGGTGCTGGGGTGCATGGCATGGCTTGGCATGGCTTGGCATGGCATGGCATGGCATGGCATGGCATGGCATGGCATGGTATGCGCAGGTACGCGCAGGGTATGAACAGGGTAAGCGCAGAGGCCATTTTTGCAACCCCTCCACCCAACATCCTCGCTGGTCTCTCCCCTTCTCCTCCACCCTTTCCCCTGTCCCCCTCCCCTCCCCACCGTCTTTACAGCAGGAGCAGCAGCGCAGCATGGGGGTGTGTGGGTGGGAGGTTTCAGCAGGGGCTGTTGGGCGTGTCTTTTTAATCATGCAGTGCAGTGGCTCCTTCACTCTATCACACAGGTGGAGCAGCAGCACAGACAGCAGGGATAAGGCGTGTGGGACGACGCAGCAGGGATAAGGCGTGTGGGAGGACGCAGCAGGGATAAGGCGTGTGGGAGGACGCAGCAGGAAGTTCTTGCAACCACTGCCCAACGTTTCCAATAACCTCTGTCTTTCTCCCCTTCCCCCAATTCCCTCCCTAATCCCCCCTTTCATAGGAGGAGCAGCAGCGCAGCAGAGAGGCGTGTGGGAGGATGCAGAGGGAGACAGAGCGGTGCTTGCAGCAGAGTGAGCGGTTCAGAGAGGAGAAGAGCCGCCTGGAGGACGAGCTGCTGGGGAAGGTGTGTGTGCTGTGTGGTAGGGTGTGCTTGTAACAGTGTGCTTGTAACAGTGTACTTGTAATAGTGTGCTTGTGACAGTGTGCTTGTAACGGTGTGCTTGTAACGGTGTGCTTGTAACGGTGTGCTTGTAACGGTGTGCTTGTAACGGTGTGCTTGTAACGGTGTGCTTAACAGTGTAGCTTCGTATGTAATGTGTTGAGGGATGTGAGCAAGGCACTGTGAGGGTGGGGGTATAAGGGGGTGTGAGGAGGGGCGTGAGGAGCGTGAGGGGTGTGGGGGGGCTGAGGAGTTTTGAGGATTTTGTGGAGAGTGAAGAGGTCGAGGAGCTTGGAGAGGTGAGGGGAGTGGTGGCTAGTCAGTGTGGTGCATGCAGCAGAGTGACCACATTAAGGAGGGGGGCGGATTAACGAGGCGCTTAATAGTGAGGGTGAGGAGGTTGAGGAGGCCGAGGGGAGTGAGGAGGTGGTTATACTGTGAAGTGGATCAAGGATGGGGAGGATGCGCCTTACAGCAGAGCGATCACATCGAGAACGGGGAGGGAAAGCTTGGTTCTTTGTTTGTTTCCACTTCTCAATCTTTCTCCAATTGTGAGCCCCCCTTTTGGTTTCTTCCGGTGCTTGGAGAGTTGATGCATGAAATCGTAGTTGTGCATGCATGCGAATCTCTCTCTCTCTCTCTCTCTCTCTCTCTCTCTCTCTCTCTCTCTCTCTCTCTCTCTCTCTCTCTCTCTCTTTCTCTCTCTCTCTCTCTCTCTCTCTCTCTCTCTCTCTCTCTCTCTCTCTCTCTCTCTCTCTGCACCCCTTTGCACCCCTCTGCAGTTCCTGCTAGTCCTCAACGCCAAGAAGGCAAGAATACGAGAGATCGAGGCTGCTCGAGAGGGGGCACAGGTGGGGGGGGAGGAGGCAGACACCTTGTGCCGTCTCAAATCCCTGCGCACCCCTTTGGACCTCTCTGCACCCATTGGCACCCCAATTCGCCCCTCTGCAGTTCCTGCTAGTCCTCAACGCCAAGAAGGCAAGAATACGAGAGCTTGAGGCTTCTCTACAGGGGGCCACAGGTGGGGGGACGGGAGGTGGAGGAGGCAAGGGAGCATGCGGAGGAGCAAAGGCAGGGAGTGGCGGTGCAGGGCGAGTGGGGAAGGGGCGATGAGAGCAGTGTGATTTGTTACAGGGCTATTGTTGGTGTGATAGTGTACAGATGTGGCTACCTGTGGCTATCTATGGCTGCCTGCAGCTGCCTGTACAGGTGGTTGTATTCACGTGGCTCCAGTCCCCACGAAAGTACATGGCACTCACCTCACCACCACCCATCCTTGATGGAATTCCAAAAAGCAGGTTCCCGTGAAAGTACTGCGAGCGGTCAACAAGCTGGATTGGGTTGGGGGTGTTCGCAACGCAAGCACCTCTCCACAAAGCACGTCCTACGAGTGCAGTAACCAAGCTAGGTTGGACAATGGAATGGCCTTTTGCAAGCCAAGGTTTTTACCGCGTGTTCAGTGGTGTTGTTGTCCAATGTCCATGCCATGCCACTTGTTTGGAGTTCTCAAAAGTGCAACCACAACACAGCAACATGCAGTGGCCCGGTTTCAAGCCATCTAATACGCGAATCACACGGAAGAGTGCAGACAAGTACTGTGCTTTCTATTCTATCTTAGCCCCACCATCCATACGGCACTCCCTTATTCTCCGATATTTATCTCTACCAACCTCTGCATGCCCCTGTAGAGTCACGACGTCCCTTCAGCAGTCCATACTACCGGTACTGCCGTAGGTATACGGTATACCCTGTTGAGATATAATAACATACCGTATTCCTCCTGCAGCGCCTCAGCACCGCGCTTGGCTTTCCGTACTAAAATACAAAATGCCATGTGCTCCCAGATATGGTAGTCCCTGTACATGTGCGCTGCAGCTATCGATCTGAGATGCTGAATGCAGCAATCCAGCAGACAATTCCTTTAGCAGGGGGAACGTTGTGCAGATGAGTTGGTGCATCTCTTATGAGATTTCTCATGAGCGACTGTAATGAATCCCAGCAGCCCGCTCGTCTGTCTTTCCCTCAGCAGCAGCAGCGGCAGCGGCAGCAGCAGCAGCACCAGAGACTCATTCCGCTTCATCTGAGCCGAGGCGTTGCATGGAGCACTTTCAGAAGTATCACCAGCCCTACAGTCCACTGCTCTGTCTCTCCCCCAGCAGCCGTAGCAGCCACTGCTTCTCCCCCACCAGAGCCTCATTCCGCTCCTTATGAGCCGCCACCTGGCGGCTCGCCTCTGCCAGGTCTGCTCTCATCGCCTTGCAGAGCGCTGCCAGCTCACGCGTCTGGTGTGGAGTGATGGTGGTAGGTAACATTGGCAAGGGAGGTGAGAGAGAGGGGGAGAGAGAAAGATGGTGAGGAGGGCACCGCTCAGTGACCTGCAGAGAGCTGGCAGCTCGCGAGTCTGGTGTGGTTGTTGCGCTTGTTGTTACACTGGCAAGGGGGGACTGTGAGCCAAAGTTAGCTAGAAAATAACGGTTTGAATAAAACGGGATATGTAAAATAAAAGTTTCGAGAGGGTGCCATAAATCGCATTCCCGCCACTGTAGTTGCCGCAGCTGTCTGATGCTCATGTGACTCAAAAGCATATCGTAAAAAGATGACTCTAGCGGGAGCCATACCTCACATTCTAGTTTCTGCAGGTGCTGCTGCTGTCGAATGCGGATGCGCTTGGCTGATGCTCTGTTGGCCGCCCGCCTGAAGGCCATGAGAGCACACATGGGATGGGATGAGGGCGACAGTGGGACAGCATGAGTGCGAGCACGGGGACAAGGGGACATGGGAACATGCAAACGCGCATTGCTGATGCTCTGTTGGCTGCCCGCCTGCACGCCGTGACAACGAGCAGGGAATGGGGTCGTTGAAACACCAGGTACGAGCCGTGAGCTGAGCTGCTGTTTTTGAGGCGCCTCAAAAAACAGCCATGAGCTGAGCTGCTGAAATGTTTGAGACAGCAGGCCCTGTGGGGGAGGACTCACCGTCTGGATTTCTGCATGGCAGCAGCAGTCCTTGGCACCGTTCCTCCACTCCCCGCCTTCGAGTACCTGTATGCCCGAGTCACCCTGCCTCTCGCGTCCACGTCAGCAGCCACGTCAGCATCCACGTCAGCGTCCAGGTCAACACCCTCCTCTTTCTTGACAGTAAAAACATTCCGAGCAGTGCCAATATCCGCCCCTGTGGCCCCAGTCGCCCCAAACGGCCGCTGCTCCTCTGAGTGGGTTCCACAGGAGGGAAACACCATGGTGTCGTGTCGAGGGGGCGTGCTTGGCAAGCTGGGGGGAAGGGTGGACTCATAAAGGGAGGTCCCTTCTGGAAGGTCGTATAGGGAGGATGATCCTCTGCTATTGCACTCCGCCTCGCAACCTTCCTTGCAATCTCCGTTTAAGCCGGTGTGGTAAGCAGTGTGGTAATCAGAGTGGTATCCAGTGTGGTAACCAGTGTGGTAACCAGTGTCATAACCCGTGCTGCACCCACATGCACAATCATCACTGCTCGTGCTGGCGTAGCTGCCAGGAGGGGGGAGCACCAGAGCTGGTAATCCTGTTACCAGATGCTGGCTGGGAACAATGGGTTCCATGGGGGTGGGGAGGAACATGGATGCTGACGTGGCACAGGCAGTGGCGGCGGCAGCGTGCGTGCCTTGGGCACAGGCAGGGGGAGAAGCAGAGCCAACAGGGGGGGAGGAAGAGGCGATGAGTAGATTAGGTGGGTTTGAAGACGGCTGCAGAGCCAACGGCTCATGATTAAGCAATGCTGATGCGATAAAGCTGTCGTCTACCTTGTCGCAACTGTTCTTCTCGTCATCGCGGGTCAATATTCCCTCAATCTGATCCTCCTTGCCAGCTTCCCCTGATGCCTTCGGGAACAGTTTGGGAGAGACAGCTGGCGAACAGTTTTTGGCGAAAGCGTGGTAAGCTGGCGAAATTTGAGGTTGATCTCGCAACATCCGAGTTGACGAAAAGTTTGGGAGAGACAGCTGCATTGCCGAAAATGGGAAGGACGAAACTCGAGAAGCTGGCGGAAACTGACCGTCCGAATTCTGATGCGGTAACGTCGCAACCGTCGTAGCGAAACCTGCGTTTTCGTTAGCTGGAGGCGAAGCAGCAGCGATGAGCGGGTGGTGTTCTTCCAGCTCTGCTTTATGAACTTTAGGGTTTGTCGAGTGGTGGTAAGTCGCCATTTCGGTAGCACCACTGTATGTTTCCTCGTTCTCCTCCTTGTGATGCCGCACGTCCACTTGAATACCTTCGGCGTGCGCTTTAGAAGCTTGGATGCCGAGTGGAGATGGATCTTCGGCGGGATTTCGTACGAACGTGGGGTGTGAAATGTCCTCCCAGCGAGGGGAAGCGGCGTGACGGCCCGGGGGTGAAACAGCCGCGAAACTAAAAGTAGTCTCAACATTCCACGCTGGTTCCTTCGCCGCCTCGGGTTTCCGCGACGGCGCCGCGACATCGCCGATAGACACGTGGCGAACGTCCTCGAATGTCATCATATGCCGTGACGTCGCGTACGGAGGCGATGACGTTGCGTACGGAAGCGATGACGTCATGGTCGCGTGCTTTTTCTGCTTGATATTCTGCAGCAATCCGAAGATCGTCGTCGGACATTCCGTAGTACCGCGCCGCGTCGCCGCCGCCGCCGTAATGCCCCGCGACGTCGCCGACGCCACGATCCTCTGCGCTGCTGCTGGCCATTCCGCCAACGCCTTGTATCGAAGCAAACGACCTTGGGACGCGGCAGCGGAAGCTGACAGCGACGACTCAGACGACCGTGGGCTAGCAACCGTTGTCCGCAGATGAGATTTGATCCGTCCTAACTCCTCGAACGCTCCATCCACTGCCGGGGGAGACGGTTCTTCGAGCACGTCATGTCGCAGAGCTCTGTCGCAACCTCGTCGCTTCGACTCCGGCGACTCCAGATCCGTCGCTCCGCTCCGAGTGGACCGACAAAGCGCCGCGCAGCGTTTACCGAGAACGCTCGTCAGCGGCGGTTGAGTCTCCGGCGCGTGGACATGATTTCTTTTCGACGGCCCGCCGACGTTATGGCGATTTTTAAGCCCATACTGAGCTGTAACTTGAAGCGTTGTCGTAATGCTACTCGTAGTAGACGGATAGTGATAGTAACAGTCACGCTTGCGCGGCTGAGAGCATTCCGGAAGATCGTCGGCCGCCGCGGCAGAGGGGAAATGGTACGTGTTGCGCGCGCGCCCGCGACGGGCGCCGCATTCTGCGCTTGACGGTGTTGTTGGTGGGTAGATGTCGCTGAGACAGATATCCATGGCCGCGAAATGTTCTTATTTTAGTTTCGAAGGACAATGCGCTGAAGGGTTCGATAGCTTGTTCCTCTCGCCGGCGCGCGATCAAGAAGACGTTGCGGCGATTCAAGAAGGACCGTGAGAGGTTGTGTTGTGATTGTGGCTGGAGTAGCTTCAAACAAGTTGTAAGAATCACATTTGGAGGCACGACATGACAGACAGGAAGTAATAAAGAAATGTCTCTGTTCGTGGGGGAGGGGTGAGGTGAGAAAAGAAGCAAGGACAAGGTGGGTGGTGTGCGTCTCAGGAACAAGAAAGATGGTGTGTCGTGTCGTGCCATGTCGTACTATCGTATCCTGTCATGAAGGGCTGCTCGAGCAGCAGCCTACTGTTGTACTGTAATGGGATGTGAGAACAACGTCAACTGCGGGGGCGCGCCGGGAATCTGGGATGGAATGAATTTCACAGATACAGCCGCTACAATCTAGTCCCCGCTGACGGACAGACTGGTGTAGGCTGAGCTGGCTGCTGGCAAGATATATCAGCAGAGCTGGTGGTCCATCTAGGCAGGTCAGCCATGATAGTCGCCACTGTGAACCTCCCTCCCGCAATTTCAAGGGAATTTTCCAGCATTGCAAATGCCAACAAGTAGGCTTGCTGCTGCCGCTTGCTCGTCTTGCCAGTTTCCCCGGCTTGCTTGTTGCGAGGTGATCGTGCCAAGGAAACTGGTTGCGTGTGGGGGAGGGTGAGGTGGGGTACAGTGGTGGAAGGAACGAGCGGGATCTGCTGGACTGGCTTGGTACAAGGCGAATGGAAGGGAACGGAGGGACCGAGGAATTCGCCGCGGCAAGCGGTTGGAGCGGAACAGTTCTCAAGTCCCAATGGTTGCCGGAGCAACTTTGAACCCCACTCTGGCTTGGGTTGGGTTGGGCTTCGGCTGGGTGGTTTGGCCTCGTTCACCTGATGCGCGATTGAGTCCTCCGTAGTTGCGTTACTGGCTGGGCCTATAACTGCACTAGGCATTTCGCACAGGTTCGTGGCAATCGCCACGGGCGCCGTGGGATTATACAAAGCATGCGTAGTTACACCCTTGTTTTTTCTGAAACAGTGCTGGTGGGCTTCTGTTGTACTACTTGTGTTTTCAGTTACCACAATGGTTTAGGCTTGTTTAACCAAAACATTACATCAAACTTCACAATTCATAACCAACCCTGAAACAAGCCCACCCAACCAATGCCCTGACAACACCTGGTGTTGTCGAAGCCCACACGTGCAACACCATGGTTGCACAATTGGAGCACAAGTTGTACTCCAATTTCACTGAGGGGTGGGAAGTCCCTCAGAGGGGTTTTCAACCCCTCTACATGCGAACCCATTCCGCTGACGCCACATAGCCGTCCATGACGGCTGTGACACCAGCATCCAGGAGCTTCTGGCGATGCGACGGCGTCGTCATCCAAGCCGGCAGAACGCGACCGCGCCAAGCAGGTGCGGAGCCAGCCGCCGACACGTTGAGATTAAGGCGCGGGATGGCACGCTCCAGTCGCTGCACGATTACCGGGTTACGGATGTCAAAAAGAGTGCAAAGGTCACGAGGTGTGATGTTTTTCGCCCGCGCGTAGCCGATCAACATTTCGCAAGCAGCTCTCGCTGTGCGACGTAATTCGCGCGTCTCCGGGTTGGCGTCTTCGCACACCGCCATCGTGTCTAGTGGCGCCTCCCATGAGGAGCGCGCCGTGTCCGACTCTGGCTCAGTCGCCAGCAGGTCTTCACCACGCTCAGCGCAAGTGGGCGCGTAGTTGTCCACGGCGACAAACTCCGCGGTAGGCATCGCGCTAGGGCCGAGGGCGAGGCGATCAATGAGAATTCCCACGTCTGCGATCCCCTCGTTGATTTCGATCTCGGCTTCACCCTTGTCGCCGGTCTCGCCCACGTGCGCAAGATCCAACCGCCAAGACAGGGGGAGGCACCTCGTGCGCCACCAGCAGCGCTGGATGGTGCGCTTTCCGATGTTCATCCAAGCATCGGAGAGCCACGCCAAGACGTCACGAAGGTTCGGGCGAAAACGCACCATGGCGGTCGTGCCGCCGAGCTCCTTCCAGTAGGCCGTGAACTCTTTCAGCCAGTGGGCGCGGTAACGCGCCTTAACCATGGCGATGATGCCCTGGTCGAGCGGTTAGGTGAAGCAGGTCGTATTCGGCTGGAGGTACATGAACGTGACATTGCTGAGGGAGCGAGTACGAAATCCGAAGATGCCTTCGGATGTCGCGGTCCCACTCCGAAGAACGTGACTGCTCGCATTGTCTGTGAGAGTACGACGACTTTGCTGGACTTTACTTGCTTGATTCTACTTTATTACACATAATATAGCTTAGCTTTAGTTTATCTTGCATGCTTTTGCTTGATTTCCTAGGTTCGTTGCTTTTACTATGGTTATTTTAGTTATAGTCACCGAACTAGGTTGAGTGCACCGAATTCTAGGCTTTTCGGTTGCCACCGAATTGCCTTCTACCGAATTCGGGAAGGACCCGTTCGGGACGCTTCGCGACCCGCGGAACCTTCTAGTAACACCCGGGTTACTGCCTTTGTGTCGAGCCTATATATAGCCTCGCCTTGTACCCAGGTGGATCATTCAATAGATTTCTCTTTCCTGAACCAGATCCTCACATTGTCGAGCAAGATCACAATATGTCGCTTCTCCGCAAACATGGCGGCGTGCACCTGCTCAATAAAATGAGTGAACAACTGACAAGGAACAAGAAGGGGGTAGGGCGGTGGGCGGGGTAATGAGAACAGCAGGAGCGGATTACTAACGACCGATACAATCGACATGAAGTGAACGGTTGAAATAGGTGCAAAGAGAATAACCGACTAGTCCATACTTACCGGTGCAGTCATCCAGCCTTTCTTGTTGTTCTGCCAGTAGCACAGAGGTTTAGGGTCGTAGTCCGGCCGGAAGTGTTGGAGGTTGCGTGGGGCGTTTTTGCCCCCAACCGCCAAGCGGTGCTGATTTTGGTGCTCACCTTCGAGTGAGCTGCAGGTTTGCGTGGGGTTGAAGTTTGACTTCGGAAGACTCCACCAATTCGGTGCCACATGGCAGCATCATGAACATTCGAGATTGAAGGAGCATTCGGTGAAATTCGAGTACCGAATTTCACCCCGTTTGAAATGTTCGCGACACATCTCGTAGTGACTAGATGTTACATGCGCGGCTCGATGTATTGAGTAGCTATAAATATGCTCGCCTTGTTTGCATGTTTCATACTGAAATCGAGAATGACTTTGTATGTGATACATTCGACTACAAAATCCAGAGAGTTCCTGTCCTTGATTCCAAGAGCACTACCTAGCACATAAACGCTTATATCTCGCTTGATACTTAGGCGATCGAGGTGATCTACGGCTCGTTGGAAAGCTAACGGAGTGCTCTATTGATTAATACAAATCCTAGTTCCTGCAAAATAGAGGAGAGTCTTTTACAACAGGAAGTCATGCGGGCGGGAGGCCTTAGAGATGACGAGCGAGCGGAACGCGTGCGAGCTGTCGGCGTTCACAAGGAACACGACGGTGAGACGTTCCTTGGCATTCTTACGCCTAGCCACACGTCCATTGCCATGGGTCTTCCGCGGAAGGACGGACAGCCACAGTGCTATCTCGTCGAGATTGAAGACGTTCTTCGGGGTGACGGACATGTGCATGAGAAGCTGGGGGAGCTTCTCCTTACACGTCTTGACGGCGTTGTGGTCCGCATTGGCGGCTTCCCCGAGCGCACTCCTGCAGCGGATGCCGTGGCGATGCATGGCGCGCCGAACCTAGCCTACATAGCAGCGAAACGAGGGGGGCTTACCCATGTCGCGAGCAATGGTGGCGACATGGTCCCGAATAGTGCCAAGCGTGAGCGGCACACCAGCAGGGCCTGCATTGGCGATCCACCTAATCATAGCCTGCTCCAGGTCGGGGTGGGCGCCTCCACGAATACGGACGGCATTGGTGTTCTTGGTAGAAACAGCCCAACGCTCGGCGGCCTTCAAAACACGGCCAATCGTGGATCGGTCAGGGCGAATGCCGAAGCGGGTGAAAAACCACCGCGCAAGGTGGATCTGGCGCAAGTGAGGGTTGCTGACACGATGTGCGCAAATCGCATGCTTAACATGGAGCGGAACCTGGGATCTACGAAGTAGCCGAGGCATAGCTATTACCAGTGAGGAGTTCGAGCTACTGAATGTGGATCAAGTTTGCGTGTAATTTATCACATTTTGGATGTGCACATGGTTTCGCTAGAGCGCATCAACCTTGGTGTGATTGTTGTTCAAAACATGCATCTGACCTTGGATGTGTTACCGGTTGGGGTCGTAACCGCCACTGCACGATGTGACGTGTGAGTTGTGAACCGTCGGGGGTACATCGTGTTACTAACGCACACATGCAACATACACGTGGCGAAAAACTCCCCAAACTGTACGTTTGGTGCACCATGACATTGGTCTACGTGGCGTACAGTCATGCGCGAAATTCCGCGCGACATCAAACTCACCTCGTCCAACCCGTTCGCGACGCTTGAACCAGGCCTTGAGACAAGGCCACCATGGGTCGACTTCGCTTGTTGTTGCACAGTTGGCGGACCGCACCCACTGTGCAACTTGTCGGGGGGGTCTCTAATGTGGATGCAACTGGCTGGCCCCAATAGCTTGTGGGCAGGATTTTGACAGTGGCCAGAGAAAATTTGGGGGCAGGAGCTGGGCATTGTGTGTACTGTATGGTGCGCCGTCTGACATTGGTTTGCTGTGCTCGACAAGAGAATCTGTTCCCTGACCATGACAGCACGTACCGACAAACGAGACAAGTAATGCAATGAGTAAAATATGGGAAGCAGAAAGCTGCAGCAGCAATGTGAACATGTCGGCTTCCTGGTGGCCAACCCAAAAGTATTTTCACATTGTTTGACAGAATTTTCGTAAAACCAAAAGCATATTCAGTAGTGGCGGCTGTAATCAATCGGTCTCTCAATATTTACTCCAAGCCCTGAGCGACGAAAAAATTTTTGAAAATGAAAAAACTGAAGCCCACCTATCGTCAGTTCAGGCCTCATCATTGTGGTTGAACGTGGGTGCGTGGAGCAAGGCTGACGTGGGGCGAAATCTCGTTAGTTTTCTTCCACTTCCATGCCAGTGTGGAGCTGACATGGCATGGCAATTGACACGGTGGCAGCTGATCGTGCCCCTCCTGAGCAGCAAACAAGAAAGGGCAACTTACTCTGAAAATTATTAAACAAATATAGTTGCTATATGATTTTTGCAAGCGCACGAAATTTTAGTAATTTATTGAAAAGCGCAGGAACAATTCATTGTTACAAATTTGGCAGAGACTGCAACAAAGCCACTTCGGCTTGAAAAGATATGTTCAGACAGTTGTTGTGACATGGCAACTGCACGTGCTATACTGCCACGTCGAAGTGTCCCCGAATGCACACTGCGGCGTGAAGGCGGCTGAGGCACGAGCATTCGCAGAGCACATGCACGTCTGTGAAGTTCACACACTGTACATGATAACTGCTGTAAGTGATGTCTGCTTACACTTCGTTACGGACAACAAATGGAAGCGGCTCAATATAATGTCCATTGGAAATGCTACTACCAGTCATGCAAACCAAGCTTGCAATTACATCCAGACGAAATTTGGTTACTCTAATATATGTCATCAGCTCTGACCTGCTAAACTTTCTGCAAAACCTCATTCTAACAAACTGAACCACAAATCTAAAACAAACTACAACCCTATCCACCCAACCCGACCCAACCCTTCAACCACTTGTCCTCTCCCAACCCACCTAACATAACCACACCTCAACAATAATTACCGTCTAATGAATAAAGCCGAGCTGGCAGTCATAATAAAGTCTGCCGCCCATTCCACAGTAGTAACCCATTCATACCAAATAACACATTCGAAACCCCCCCAGCCTCTCGGGTCCATTATCGAAATCACCCTCTATGCAAAGACGCAGAACTAGCCGTCATAATCAAATCTGCTGGCCGTGCTAGCAACCCCTGCATGGCCGTGGCGTCCTGTGTGACCGAGTCGACGCCCCACTCTTCTCTCACCCATGCGCGTATCGTCCCTGACGTGTCGTCATCGCAGCGCTTGGCGAGAGAGAGCACGGAGCGGCCGCTGTGGGGGATGATCATGCCGCCCTCCATGGGCTGAAAGTCCCCCACCCGCGTCACCATCACCCTCTCCCAGTAGATCGTGCTGTTGCTCGCTGTCTGTGTGGGGGACGAGCGTGTGGGAGGAGAGAAGGGAGGGGGAGGGGGAGCGGGAAGGGGGCAGGAATGGGCAGCACAATTCAATGAAAGCAAAGCGACATCCTGGTCAACCTTGTCCTCAGTCGTGTTTTGAGTCGACTCAGTCGTCCTCAGTCGACTCAAAACACGACATCCTGGTCAACCTTGTCCTCAGTCCAAGTCATATGATGGTTGCACTGCCCCACCAGTACTCAAGAAACCCCCCACGTACCACTCACAGCCTGCTGCCACACTCACACTACACTCCCCACTCCTCCCTCACTCTCCTCACCCCACTTCCCATCTCACGCGGCAATGGCAGAGTCTAGATGATGGCATTTGGACACAGACTCCAAATGAATATTGAGAGTCGACCCAAAACCCACCTGAAGTGGTACTCAATTTGGACTCCAATCCAAACTCATCCCATCCCAGACGCTTTACTGAAGAACCCCTCCACCTGGTACGCGAGCACGTCGCACACGTCGTGCTGCCTTGCCCTCACCCCACCCCACTCCATCCCACCGTGCACCGCACCCCCATTCCAGGCTCCCCTGGGGCATCGGGCAACCCAGGCCCACCTTGGATTAGGTGAGATGATGACCGCGCAGCCCGATGAGCAGCCCCGAGGCTTTACTGAAGTAGCCCTCCACCTGGTATCCCAGCACATCACACACATCCTGCTTCCTGCTGTCTCTCCCCCTCACACCCCTCCCATGGTCACCTCACCGACACTCGCACACGCACCTTGGTCTTGGTCAGATGATGACAGCGCAGGCCGATGAGAAGCCCCGACGCTTTACTGAAGAACCCCTCCACCTGGTACGCCAGCAAGTCGCACACGTCCTGCTGCCCACTGCCTTCCCCCCCCCAGACCCTCACCCCACAGCAACCACCTTGGTTAAAGTAAGGTGATGGTCACGAAGCCCAATGAGCAGCCCCGACGCTTTACTGAAAAAGCCTTCCACCTGATACGCCAGCACGTCGCACACATCCTGCTGCCTGCTGCGTTGCTCCTTGCACTCAGACAACCACCAGACGCACCTTGGTTTTCGTAAGGTGATGGTCGCGCAGCCCAATGAGCAGCCCCGACGCTTTACTGAAGAACCCCTCCACCTGATACGCCAGCACGTCACACACGTCCTGCTGCTTGCCGCCCACGTTGCCCCCGCCCGTGCTCATGGACATGAGGGCGAGCGGGTTGGCCATCACCTTCACGCACATGCACTCGTCGCCCTCTATGCCCTCGTCTCCCTGATACTCTCCTGAGGCAAACACATCTGCGACTGTGGGCGGGTCCAGGCCCTGTGGTGGAGGGAGAGGAGTGGAGAGGAGAGCAGAGACATTAAGAGGAGTGGAATGGGATGCACTCGTCGCCCTCTATGCCCTCGTCTCCCTGATACTTGCCCGACACAAACACATCTGCGACTGTGGGCGGAGAGGAGAGCAGAGGAATTAAGAGGAGTGGAATAGGATGCACTCGTCGCTCTCTATGCCCTCGTCGCCCGGATACTCGCCCGATGCAAACACGTCCGCGACTGTGGGCGGGTCAAGTCCCTGGAGCGGGGAGGAGAGGAGTGGAGCGGGGAGGAGAGGAGTGGAGCGGGGAGGGATGGGCTCTCTTCCTCATGCCCTCGTCGCCCTGATACTCGCCCAATGCAAACACATCAGCAACCGTGAGCGGATCCAGGCCCTGTGGTGGAAGTGAGGAATGGAGAGGGGTGGAGAGGAGTGGGGAGGGATGCACTCGTCGCCCTCTACGCCCTTATCGCCCTGATACTCGCCCGATGCAAACACGTCTGCGATCGTGGGCGGGTCGAGTCCCCGTGGTGGAGGGAGAGGAGTGGAGAGGAGTGGAAAGGGATTGACTCCCTCCCTCTATGCCCTCATCGCCCTGATACTCGCCCGACGCGAGCACGTCCGCGACTGTGGGCGGGTCCAGGCCCTGATGCCGGGCAGGACATGGCCAGGGGGTGGGGAAGGAGGAGGAAGGTGGAACAGGTGGAGAGGGGGGGAATACAAAAGGATCATGGAAGTTCTCAGCCCCTGAAGGGTGAGAAACAGCAGTGGGGAATGGGGAGGAGGGGCGACGGGGAGGGGAGACGGGGGGGTGGGTAGCAGCGCGGAGGAAAATGGGGGGACGAGAAGAGGAAAGGAGAGGAGGGAAGAGGAAAGGCATTATCAAGCATCTGGTCTGGGCAGATGACCCAAGTGCTGTGGTGCACGAGGAGCTACAGGGCTATAGCAGAATTACAATATAGCTCCTCCTGTACCATTCCTGAAGCAACCTCACATGGCATGGGTGGCGCGTTATTGGTCGGGGCAAATGGAAAGAGCAGGTTGTGTAAAGGAAAGAGGAGGCGTCCAGGCCATGAAAGAAAGGGAGGTCGGGAGGGAGGGAGTGTGGGGTTGGAAGCGGGCGGTGGGAGGAGGGAGGGAGGGAGATGAGGATGGAAGAGAGCAGTTCACCATATCCGCTGCTTTTGAGGCGCTTCAAAAGAGCGCAGTGCATTACATCCGCTGCTAGAAACACCCTTGCCGGCCTTGATCCCACCCAACGCCCCGTCACCGCATCCCACCCACCAGCACCACTCAAAACCGTACTAACCGCCCTCTCTGCCAGCAATCGCACTGCCAGCAACACTCACCCTCCCAGCCCAGCGATCCACCACTCGCACTGCCACCAGAACAGCTGGCTTGCACTGATTGGGCCACACTTTTTTAGACGAAAAAAAGTACAGCCATCTTGCACTATTAGCGCCGGTGCCTAAGTGGCCCCCGAGACCCCTTGACACGTGGCCCCCGAGACCCCTTGACACGTGGCCCCCGAGACCGCTTGACACGTGGCCCCCGAGACCCCTTGACACGTGGCCCCCGAGACCCCTTGACACGTGGCCCCCGAGACCCCTTGACACGTGGCCCCCGAGACCCCTTGACACGTGGCCCCCGAGACCCCTTGACACGTGGCCCCCGAGACCCCTTGACACGTGGCCCCCGAGACCCCTTGACACGTGGCCCCCGAGACCCCATGACACGTGGCCCCCGAGACCCCTTGACACATGACCCCCGAGACCCCTTGACACGTGGTGGTTGACGTGAACTAAGCAGCTGCTCTGCGCCCCACACCAGTGCTGGTTCCTGAGCGTCTTCCCCACCCCCCACCCTACAATCCCATTCAAGCCCACTCCAGACCACTCAAGGCCACTCAAGAGCCCACTCAACCACACTGAACCGCCGCACCCACCGCTAGCAAGTGCGTGAGTGATCGCACAGGCCTCCTGGCCATGGTGGACGGCGCCCAGCAGCTCCGCCCACTCAGAGCCACACTCAGGCCCACTCTACCGCACTCAACCGCAATCAACCGCACTCAACTGCACTCAAGACCACAGGCACCCCCAGTAAGTGCCTGAGTGGTCATACGGATCCCTTGGCCTAGGTAGATGGCGCTTAGATGCTCCACCGCCACACCAGCTCACCATCACACGGCCCTCCTTGCTCATCCCACACTTAACCCGCTCAACCGCACTCAACTGCACAGAACCGCACTCAAGACCATACCCACCGCTAGCAAGCGCCTGAGTGGTCGCACAGGCCCCTTGGCCGTCGTCGATGGCCCCCAACTGAACCACCGTCACACCAGCTCGCCGTCACACCGCTCTCCTTCCTCATCCCACGCTACACGCCCACTCACAGCCCACTCAACCTCAAGACCACACATACCACTAGCAAATGCCCGAGTGGTCGGACAGGCCCCTTAGCCGTCGAGGACGCGCCCTAATTACTCCGCCGCCACACCAGCTCGCCGGCACACGGCCTTGCTTCCTCATCCCACACTCAACCCCATCCAACCGCACAAAATCGCACTCAAAGCCTTGCTCACCGCTAGCAAATGCCTGAGTGGTCGCACAGGCCCTTTAGCCGTCGTGGAGGGGCCCCAACTGCTCCGCCGCCACACCAGCTCGCCGTCACACGTGGCGTCAATCCGCGTGTCGCCCATAGCCACCGCCACGTGCCACATGTTGGGCGGCATCTGCACCACGCGGAACGTCCCCTTCGCCACGTCAGCGCCGCCGCGGCCGCCCGCGATCGGGGCGGCGTAGACCGTCTTGTCGCCCATGACCACCTCAGATGCCCAGATGGTGACGTGGCCGGAAATCACGGAGCCCTGCTGCGCCATGTGTGAGTTGTAGCCGCCGGATGCCGCTATGTACTTCTTGAGAACGTCCCTCGTGGTGCGTTGGTTCTGAGGACACGGGAGGCGAAGGGAGAGACGGAGGAGCACGCGAGGAGTGAGGGACGCGAAGGGGAGGGGGGAACTCTAGCCGCCCGGTGCCGCTACGTACTTCTTTAAGACGTCCCTCGTGGTGCATTGGTTTGGGGCGAAGGCGGAGGCGTGAGGGGAGCATGGGAAGGTTGAGAGAGAGCGGGACGAGATGGCTGGGTGCGAAGCGAAGGGAGGGGCGAGCTGCAGCGGCCTGATGCTGCTATGTGCCTCTTTGGTTCTGGGAGGGAGCACGGGAGGGGTGAGGGAGAGAGACGCGCAGGAAGGGCCGAGAAGTAGCCGCGGAACGCCTGTTGCTTCTGGATCAAGGGAGGGGTGAGAGAGACGGGGAGGGGACGACTTTTGAGACGTCTGAAAAGTCGCAGGCAGGGTCGAAAAGCAAGGGAGGGGTGCGAGAGACGGGGAGGGATGGGCGTGAGAGGGAGACGCGAACGGAAGGGCGAAGGAGGCACTACGGGAGGGCGGAGGTGTGGCCGCGGAGCACCTGTTGCTTTCGGAGCATGGGAGGGGTGAGAGAGACGGGGAGGGGACGGGTGAGGGAGGGAGACGCGAATGGAGTGGCGAGTTGCAGCCGCGGAACGGCCGTTGGTTCTGGACCAAGGGAGGGGTGCGAGAGACGCGATGGGATGGGCGAGGGAGACGCGCGAACGGACAGGCGAAGGAGGCACGAAGGGAGGTTCGAGTTATAGGCGCCGAACGGCGGTTGATTCTAGATCGAGGAGGTGTGCGAGAGACGCGAAAGGGTGCGAGAGACCCGAAGGGAGGGGTGGAGGGGGTGGGGGAACGAAGGGAGGGGTGAGAGAGACCCGAACGGATGGGGGACGGAGACGCGAAGGGAGGAGCGCGTCCGGGTAAGGGAGACATGAAGCGCAAGGGGAGAGAATTGGGTGGATCGCAGAGGAGAAGGGTGTCGGAGGCGACGGTGGGGGAGGCGACGGTGGGGGAGGCGACGGGAGGTGAAGAGGCGCAGAGAAACGGTGTTGCTGGGAGCAATGTGAGGGTATGGCGGGAGAGAGAGTCCATGTCCGTTTTGAGGCGCCTCGACATTGAAGCAATGCGAACGTGAAGACGACAGAACGGGACCAAGAGGGCCGCATTTTCGATAAAAAGTTTCAATTCGCACGTGAGGACGGCATAACGGATATATCAAACGGAAGATGGAAACACCACCACACAATTTGTTGGCGTCTAAAAAAAAAACGTGTACTGAACATAGAAATACTACTCAGGATGCTCCAAAAATGCGAACCCAGTGAACGATCGCGCGTTAAAAGAATAGGAGCCATAGACATTTCAGTCGGTTAGAAAGCAACCTTTCTAGCTGACGCGATCTTCGCATTGCGCTATGCCTAACTATCTAGCCTTTTTTGCGAGCAATGAGGTCATTTCTGATTACAATGTAAACGGTCGAAACGACGCGGCGACCCACAAGAAGCGAAAATGGTAATTAAAAACGTTATCGCTATCAAACCACCTCCTTACTGAACTATGACCATTCTCATTGATAATGGCCACTTGCGATGTGCGACCATGCAGCGATCCTGTCAGCTTCGGTAACTCTCGCCATTCCCGTCGCAACCCTCCATGATCGGTGTACCTGCGTTAGTTCGGGAGTCGTCGGTCGAGGCAGACTTATTTGCTTCGGAACCGAAGCTAACGGCGTCGCGGCGGCCTGCAAGACAAACTTAATCTCCGCGTCTCGCGCTTTCGCCTCCTCCTCTTTAGACTTCCCCGACTTCGCTCCAAACAGCTTCTTAAGACTAAACGAGTGTTTCGCCGCATCCTCGTGCTTCGCGGACGAGTCCGGCGGGTAACCCTCTAGTAACGGCCCTAAAACGGTTGTGCATGTTGTGAAAACCTTAGACTCTTTCGGTGTGGAGCTGTCTGATTGCCAGCCTGACTCGCTGGGGCGATTAATGAGATGAGCGAAGCCGAGCAGTCCATCGGACATTCTCGCCGCATCTGACGGCGTCGCTCGCCGTGCACGCCGTCGCTAACTACGCCTGCTATGTGCGGTTTGCTACTGGACCAGCGCCTCCTAGGGTTACTACTAGGGAAGAGGTGTCGTGGAACCCTAATTAGGTATGGAGGAAAATGTGCACGAAACAAAATGGAGGGTGGGTGAGAGGTGAGTGAGCAGTGGTAGTGTAAGAGATGTTTTCGCCAGCCCTTTCAAACGGATATGAGTGTGTTTCGCCAAGGCTAGCTGCGAAACTAAAGTCGCAACTTGCAGAACTTGTCAACTTTAGCCGTGAGCGCTTAAAGGGTGCAATTACTTCGCTGATGTCGTCAGTGTACCGCATTCGTCGTTCCCCTTCTTTTCGTCAAGCGCGGTTCACCTCCTTTTCGCCGGGCTTTGGCCTGCGTTGAACGTGAGCCACCCAGGTCGAATGGAGCAGAACCACCTGCCGCCAGGGTGTGTCCTATGGCGTCACATTTCTCCAGTCACGTTCTCAGCTACGACTCGGTGGAACGATCTGAAATTGCACAATCCAGGTTGATGGATCAATAATGTACAGAAAAAAAAAACTTTACAGGAAAACAGCTACCCATATGATGAGTTGGGTGAAGCACATGGATAATTCGATGAACATTTTGGGACTTGCCCAGGAGGGTTCTGCAAATGCAAAGTCTCTGAACAAACATCATGTACAATATTTACAAATTGCACAAACACATGCAGATTCAATGCCTCCATATCAACGCTACGCTACCCCACTAGATCACCCACAAAGCAACACCATCACAGCCTTCATCAGCATGAGCAGCGCATGCGCCATAGTCACAAACACCTCATCAGCGTTATAAGCCCTAAGAGCTAGTGAATGCCTTTTGCTGCGCGCCTTCTAGGGCGGAGCAACTCAAGGTAGAGGAGAGGATGCAGGAGCTGTCATACAGCTGGCTCCTCAATTCACAGTACTCCAGAACTTGGCCTTGAGGTCGTCCGCTAGCACAGCCTGCTTTGCCTCTAGCGCTGGAAGCAGCGCAATGAGCACTACTGCATCAGCATTACAAGGCCTACGAGCCACCCTTGTACAGCTCGCTCCTCACGGTGCTCCAGAACCTGGCCTTGAGGTCGTCCGCTAGCGCAGCCTGCTTTGCCTCCAGCGCCCGCAGCTCTGCCTGCTGCGCTTCCAGCTGCCTCTCTGCCTGGGCCAGTGCCTCCTTCTCCTTGTCGTCCCCTAGTAGTGCCTGAAAAAGAGTAGCAAGAGGCGCAGGGGTGAATGGGTAAGAGGAACGAAGAGGAGCTACAAGCAGTGTTAGCCCTGCCTGCTGCGCTTCCAGCTGCCGCTCCACCTCCGCCAGTGCCTCTCCCTCCTTGTCACCCCCCAGTAGTGCCTGGAGAAGAAGCGGCAGGAGCGAGTGAACAAGATAGTTATGTTTTAGATGCCTCTAGCGCCCGCAGCTCTGTCTGCTGCGCTTCCAGCTGCCACTCCGCCTCCGCCAGTGCCTCCTTCTCCTTCTCATCTCCCAATACTGCCTGGCGAAGAGAGCAAGCACCAGTAGGCAAGGGGGCAAGAGCGAGTGGGCAAGATCAGGATGGTCGGAAGCAGTGCTAACGAGAGATCGAACGAGGGACGGAGGGGACGGAAGGAAAGAGGAGGGAAAGACAAGTGGAGGAGAACACACATGAGTGGAGGAGAACACACATGAGTGGAGGAGAACACACATGAGTGGAGGAGAACACACATGAGTGGAGGAGAACACACATGAGTGGAGGAGAACACACATGAGTGGAGGAGAACACACATGAGTGGAGGAGAACACACATGAGTGGAGGAGAACACACATGAGTGGAGGAGAACACACATGAGTGGAGGAGAACACACATGAGTGGAGGAGAACACACATGAGTGGAGGAGAACACACATGAGTGGAGGAGAACACACATGAGTGGAGGAGAACACACATGAGTGGAGGAGAACACACATGAGTGGAGGAGAACACACATGAGTGGAGGAGAACACACATGAGTGGAGGAGAACACACATGAGTGGAGGAGAACACACATGAGTGGAGGAGAACACACATGAGTGGAGGAGAACACACATGAGTGGAGGAGAACACACATGAGTGGAGGAGAACACACATGAGTGGAGGAGAACACACATGAGTGGAGGAGAACACACATGAGTGGAGGAGAACACACATGAGTGGAGGAGAACACACATGAGTGGAGGAGAACACACATGAGTGGAGGAGAACACACATGAGTGGAGGAGAACACACATGAGTGGAGGAGAACACACATGAGTGGAGGAGAACACACATGAGTGGAGGAGAACACACATGAGTGGAGGAGAACACACATGAGTGGAGGAGAACACACATGAGTGGAGGAGAACACACATGAGTGGAGGAGAACACACATGAGTGGAGGAGAACACACATGAGTGGAGGAGAACACACATGAGTGGAGGAGAACACACATGAGTGGAGGAGAACACACATGAGTGGAGGAGAACACACATGAGTGGAGGAGAACACACATGAGTGGAGGAGAACACACATGAGTGGAGGAGAACACACATGAGTGGAGGAGAACACACATGAGTGGAGGAGAACACACATGAGTGGAGGAGAACACACATGAGTGGAGGAGAACACACATGAGTGGAGGAGAACACACATGAGTGGAAGGGAGAACACACATGAGTGGAGGAGAACACACATGAGTGGAGGAGAACACACATGAGTGGAGGAGAACACACATGAGTGGAGGAGAACACACATGAGTGGAGGAGAACACACATGAGTGGAGGAGAACACACATGAGTGGAGGAGAACACACATGAGTGGAGGAGAACACACATGAGTGGAGGAGAACACACATGAGTGGAGGAGAACACACATGAGTGGAGGAGAACACACATGAGTGGAGGAGAACACACATGAGTGGAGGAGAACACACATGAGTGGAGGAGAACACACATGAGTGGAGGAGAACACACATGAGTGGAGGAGAACACACATGAGTGGAGGAGAACACACATGAGTGGAGGAGAACACACATGAGTGGAGGAGAACACACATGAGTGGAGGAGAACACACATGAGTGGAGGAGAACACACATGAGTGGAGGAGAACACACATGAGTGGAGGAGAACACACATGAGTGGAGGAGAACACACATGAGTGGAGGAGAACACACATGAGTGGAGGAGAACACACATGAGTGGAGGAGAACACACATGAGTGGAGGAGAACACACATGAGTGGAGGAGAACACACATGAGTGGAGGAGAACACACATGAGTACAAACATACATACACACACCCATCCCATCCACCCATTCACCCCCCCTTTACATTCCCCCCTTCTTTCCCACCACACACACACAGCCCCCGACATCTTCCCCCCCACTATACACACCCAATCCCAACATTTCTCCCCCCCCCCTCCCCTCCGCACCAACACACAACCCCAACATACTTCATAGCTCGCTCTGATTTTCGCCTCCTGCACTGCCTTATCCCTCTCTGCCCTCTCTGCCACCCCTCGCGCTTCCTTCGCCGCCCTCTCAAGGCTCTCGGCCCTCGCCACCTGCACGGTTTAGACAGGGAGGAGTGAGAGAGGGGAGACGGCATCCGGATATACGACCCCTCTAGAATCATCTCCGCGCCTCCCTAGCCGCCCTCTGAAGGTTGTCCTCCCTCGTCACCTGCACGATAGAAAGAACACAGTGCAGGGGTTTGAGGCACAAGGAGAAAAGACACACAGAGGTTTAAATGGGAGGCTTGAAGGCACCTCTAGAATCATCTCCGCACCTCCCTGGCCGCCCTCTGAAGGCTCGCCACTGCCCTCGCTTCCTGTGGAAAGGCACGACACACAAGCACAACAAGTGCTTTCAGTCCAACTCACACCACTCCAGCTCCTGAATTGCACCTGCATATACATACCACCTGCATGCACGTACCAGCTCCTGAATTGCACCTGCATATACATACCACCTGCATGCACATACCAGCTCCTGAACCGCATCATCCATCTCCCTCAACCGCTCATCCCGCTCCTCCTCCAGCCGCCTCGCCTCCCTCCTCCGCCTCTCCACCCGTCCCCGCATGTCCCTCACAGCCCTCGCACTCTCCTGCACCTTCCTCCTCTGCGCCTCCTCTCTCGCCTGCAGGGCATGCCGCACCACCACCTCCATCATGCGCTCGTCCATTGCTGTCACCATCCCACCCAGCCCTATCATCCCAGGGCCGCTGAAAGAAGAGACGCCGAGGGTAGAAACTACGAGAGAGGACCCGCCCGCACCGGGCGCCAAACCGGGCTCAGCAAGACTAGGCCCACCCACACCAGCCCCCCCGACTCCTCCAGCCCCCCCGACTCCTCCAGCCCCCCCTACTCCTGCGTGGGTCATCGCAGCAGCAGAGCGCTTGACACCCCGCGGCCCACTGACAGCAGCATCAACCGCCCCAATGTCCGCTGTTGGGGTGCTCTGTTCCGCCACCCCGGGCCCCGCTAGGCCCTTCTCTCCCTGACCTGATTCTCTGGGCTGCTGGTCGTCCAGGCGCCAAGCAGGGGGCACAGCAGGTGCTGCTGATGGTGTCACAGGCGCTCCAGCAGGTGAAACTGGGGGCCTTAAAGCCCCACCAGGTGCTGCTGCTGGTGCTGCAGCTGGTTGCTTTGGCGCTGCTGCTCCTGCTGGAGTTGACTTTTGATATGTCTTAAAAGTCGCTCCTGCTCCTGCTGCTGCTGGTGTGGCTGGAGGCGCAACTGAAGGCTGCTTTGGTGCGGCTCCTGTTGCTGGAGACGCAGCAGCAGGGGTGGATTCAACCAGCCTTGCACCGCCGTTCCCACTTGCTGCCACTTGCTGCTGCTGCTGCTGCTGCTGCTGCTGCTGCTTAGCAGGGGCGTGGGCATCTGAACTTCCAGCCATCTCGGTACGATCAGCTTCACCTTCAAGCGCTTCCTCCTCTGCCTCTGCCTCACCTGCACTCGCTGCACCCTCGCCCCTCGCTACACCCACCTGCAGTTGCACCGTGGTCTCTGTGACTGTCACCACCTGCTGCTCTTCAGACACAGGTACTGTCTCTGTGTGCGTGCGTGTTGCCACCACCCTCACTGCCCTCCCTCCCTCTCCTGCTGTTTTCCCTCCCTCCTCACCCTCTATGCCTCTCCACCCTGCAACCTCCAACTTGCCTGACCTTCCCTTTCCGCCGCTTCCCTCTCTGTCTCTTCCCTCCCTGCCTCTTCCCTTCACCCCTTCTATCCAGCCCCTCTTCACTCGCCTTGTTACTTCCCTTGTTGCTGCTGTCCCTGCTACAGCTGCTACAGTTGGAGCAGATCGTGGCTCTAGTTGCCGCGCCTGTAATGGCCGAGCCTCAGCTTGCCGAGCCTCAACTTGCCGAGCCTCGACTTGCCGAGCCTCTGTTTGCCGAGCCTCTGTTTGCCGAGCCTCCGCCTCTTCTGCAGCTATCGCCTCCCTCAGCAGCCCCTGAATCTCCTCCTGCACCTTCTCCCCTCCCCCTTCCTCACTCCCTCCCTCCAACCCCTCAACCTCCTCTTCCTCCTCTCCTCCCCGCACCTCCTCCTCCCCCTCCCCTTCCTCCTCCTCCTCTAAAGTTTCACTCTCCGCCTGCCTCTCCGCCACTAACGCGCCCTGCTCCGCCGGGGGGAAGTCCTCCAACCTCAATCCGCGCAACAGACTCCGCTCCGCCCTGCCTCGTTCCGCCCCGCTTCTGCCCTCCACTGCGCCCTTGCGCTCCTCTGAGCGCTCTGCGCGTTCTTCCGCCTTCGCCTTACCCGCGCGACCTCGTCGCCCCCTTTCCCCCACCTCACGCGCCCCTCTCGCCGCCCCGTGCTCCCTCACACCACCCCCTCCTTCGCCCACTGTCTCCTCTTTCCCGTGACTTCCGCGCGCCTGTTCCGCCGCACGCACCCCTTTCCTTCCGCCACGCGCCCTCCGCGCGTGCGTCGATCTGTCCCCGCCACCTAGATCTCCCCCCTCCTCGTCCTCCGCAGCCCCCGGCTTCTTGAATCTTCCACTGCTCTCCACCGATCCTTTACCTCTCTCAACCGATGCTGCGGCAGAAGCCTTTCCCTTTCTCGTTACGCCGTTGCGTTCCTTTCCCTTCCTTTCGCGCCTATCTCCCACCGCAAACGTTCCTCGCGGCGAGCTCTCAGAATCTCGAACCATCTCTGCACGCAGCGAGCTGAGCATAAGCTTTCAACTGGGCTGTGTGACGAACGAAACTCTCGCAGATCCTCCCAATTCTCCCATGCCGCACCCTTGCGGTACGGACGATGCTGCTTTTCCTGTGTCCATCATCCAGCTTGCAGCGACGCGACGCCACGCCGCGGCGTGACGTCGCCGCGCTGCCGCTCTCATATCTACGCCAGCTGCGCTGCGCGTGGCGCGGTGCCGAACTCGCTTGCATGCGAGAATCCAGCCGAGGTCGCGAGCTTTAGGCGGCTAGCCATCGAGTTGTTTGACACGTGACAGCCTGCACATGGCGGTGTGGGAGGTGCGTACGCGTTTGTCACATAATTGTCTGTTAATCACATGTTTGGCGGCTGCTAGAAATACGATTGGTACACGAATGAAAAAAAAAACTAAGATCATTAAAACCAGGGTGCACATTCAATTGGATTTCTGTCAAAGGTTAACCTTTGACCTCGGGGTTACTCAGTGATTTAGGAATATCTGGGGGGAGTGTTCGCTTCAGCAGGTGAACATTTGAACCCTCGAGATTTGGCAAATGTAAACCGAAGTCATCGAATGTGCTTCCGCCAATTCGTTTCCCCCCTCCCCATACCTATTCCGCTCCCACCGAAATTGTTTCCCCTTCCCCCACAATATCGTCTCACCCCCTTTCCCCTTTCCGCCAACCCAGTTGCCCTCCCCTTGATCCCCAATTTCTAGATCCAAGTGTTATCAATTTCTCCCCTGCCAAGCCTCATCTCTCACGGACGAAAAGCCCCATGCTCGCCCATTCTCAACTATTTATTCGCTACTCGTCAACCAATCAGCAGTTCCCGCAAACATGCCGCCCAAAATTTAGCCTGGAGTCGCGTTGAATGTGTACCCTGGTTTTAAATGCCTCTCGTATCTTTCCTCTCAGACACAATGCAGTCAGATACATCCAGGGCTGACGATATCAGACTATTTTAGTCTGATTGTCTGAAATTTCAGACTATTTTCCTGACATTCCTGATTTTTCAGAGTTGGCTGGTTTTGAAAAATGAGTGCTTCAGACTAATGGTTTTTTCGATACTGAAAAATGCTTACCGGATAATGAGTTTTCATACTACAGAGTACGAACTCCCCTTCGCCATACCTGTTACTTCGAGGAAAACCCATCCCTCCGAACTTGTGCAAAAGGTTCGTTAGTAGGAAAACCTGCCTTAGTCTATGAATTATAAAATTTTCAGAGTTATACTTCTCTGGTTCCTGAGAAATCAGAGTAATCACTTTTTGGAAAATGGGCCTCAGACTAAAAAAAATTGGGGGGCCAAAAAAATCAGAGTGGTTTTATTCGAAAAGTCAGCCCTGGATACATCACAGAATAGTACAGTAATCTTCACCTGGATTAAAAATGGAACCATCCACACGTGAGACTATCCACTCATAGAATGTAGGAACTGGCAACACCATGCCAGCAGAATCCAACAAAAAGACGTCACACCTCCTCTTGGCCGGTCAAAACCTCGACAAGGAAGCACGCCACCACCGTAGGCGCAGTTAACTCCTCTGCCACACCCCTTGCATTAAACTCCTAGCAGCGACCAAAAAAACTGAGGTGTGAGCCAAAAAACTTGAATCCGTGACCATCCCATCCTCCTACCACATTCTAACCAAATGTCCCACAGTCCCACCCACCCCCACAAACTAACTGCAAAATTGTGCAACCATGGCCAGATAGCCCACCCTCCTAACAACACTCATGGCCCACTGCACCACAAGGAAGCCACCGAGTCCTATAATACCAGCGTCAGGAGAATCGCCAAAATCGTGCTCACCCACCCATTCACAAACTTCTCCATCCCACCCTAACCACCAATGGCCACACAGCCATCCCACCTACCAACCCCCAGCCATCCCTTCCCTCCCGGCCTAACCACCCATGGCCCACTGCACTGCACCACAAGAAACCCATTGAGTCCTCACCAGCGTCAGGAGAATCGCCAGAATCGTGCTCACCCACCCATTCACAGAACTTCCCCATCCCACCCTAACCACCAATGGCCACACAGCCAACCACCAACATCCAGCCATCCCTTTACTTCAACCCTAACCACCCATGGCCCACTGCACCACAAGGAACCCATTGAGCCCTATAATGACCAGCGTCAGGAGAATCGCCAGAATCATGCTCACCCACCCATTCACGAACTTGCCCATGCGAGCTGGGGACGACGTGAAATGCACCAGCGGCGCAATCGCAAACGGCAGCTGCAGCGACAGAATCACCTGGCTCAGCACCAGAAGCTTCCCAGCGCCTTCCATGCCACTGATAGCAGCAACGATGACAGCAGGAACAATCGCGATGCAGCGAGTCACCATCCGACGAAGCCATGGCGGAAGCTTCACGTCCACAAACCCCTCCATCACAATCTGACCCGCGAGGGTTCCCGTGATGGTAGAGTTCTGCCCGCTGGCAAGCAGCGCGACGCCGAAGAGGATTCGCGCGGCAGTGTCGCCGATGGCGGGCGCGAGGAGATGATACGCGTCGCTGATATCCGCCACGGTCTGCTGGCCCGACGCGTTGTAGTAGAAAGCCGCGGCCGCGAGGATCAAAATCGCCGCGTTGACAAAGAACGCGACGAAGAGAGACAGGCACGAGTCCCACGTGCCGTAACGGACCGCCATGCGCTTGCCCTCGGTCGTGCGGCTGTAATTGCGCGTTTGGATGATGCTGGAGTGGAGGTAGAGGTTGTGCGGCATGACCGTTGCTCCCAGGATACCCACGGCTGCGTATAGCACGTCAGGGTTGGTGAAAATCTGGCCTGACGGAATGAAACCTTTAAGGACCAGGACCCAGTCAGGACGCACCGCGATTAACTCGTACGTCATGCACGCGGCGATTAAAGCGCAGAGAATGAAGATCAGCAGCTCCAGCACGCGCGCGCTGCGGGCGCCGAGGAAGACTATAAGGAGGCAATCGGCTCACGTGATAAGAATGCCTATCCACAAGGGTAAGCCGAATAGAAGGTACATAGCGGTCGCGGATCCGATCACTTCCGCGAGGTCGGTAGCGGCGATGGCGATTTCGGCGAGAATCCAGAGAGTAAGATTGGCGTAGCGCGGGTACGCGTCGCGACATGCCTGCGCGAGGTCCCTTTCGCCGACGACGCCGAGCTTTAAAGACAGGCTCTGGAGGAACATAGCGCAGATGGAAGACATGAGCACGACGAATAGCAGCGTGTATCCGAACGCCGACCCTCCCGCAATGTCCGTGGCCCAGTTTCCGGGATCCATGTAGCCCACGCTGACGACGAATCCCAGGCCGGTAAACGCGAAGAGCTTGTAGTACCAGGCCGATTCGGGAGGCGGCACGTAGACGGACGAGTGTAGGTCGTCGAGCGACTTGTTATGCGGCACGCGACGCCAGCCGGCCAGGAGACGCTGCTTCTCCTCCACTTCCGCCAGAGTGCCTTCCGCTGCAGCCTCGGAGACTGGCGAACGTCTGCTGCCATCCTCAGGAATATCGGGTAAATCCCTCGATGGAGAACTGTCACTCAAATCGGAGGAGATTTCCATCAGCGATCCGCGACTGGCTTGTCCCAGGGACTCAGCAGTGTGAACCACGCTTCGAGCAGGTGGCAAAGCAGCGACTTCGCGACCGCCGTGCGAATCGGCGGCTGTTTCGGGATCCAGTCCATCACTGCTCCGTTCGTGGTGTCTCCCGAACGCTCTCTGGACAGACACCAATGCGGAAGTGGACTGATTCGTAAACCAACCCATCTTGGCCTAGAAAAAAAAAAAAAAAAACGAACTAAGACGGATAGTCGACGAAGCTACCAACTAAGCAATTGCGCATACAAGGTTCCTAGCCTGCTAAATGCGCGGGAATGACTCGATGAGGGGAAGGAAGGATGCTTTTGCTAGCTTTTCTTGCTTGTGGTTCTGCGAGCTCCAGGTCAGCCTGCGTCTGACCAGGGAGGCAAAAAAGCTGGCCAAACCACATTGCTCTTCCGAACTTGTCAGGGCCTGGCCGAAGCGAAACCCTTGGAACCACTCTGAAAAACTCTAAACCGCTGTGAAGCACGCTGGTGTTCATGCTCTATTCCACTATTTCGGGCTTTCTAATCTGCTCCGTTCCCTGGGAGTTGTTGGTTCAATGCTGCTGCTGCTGCTGCTGCTTCGTCAGTCTCAAGAAATCCAGAGTGGTGTGGAAGGAGAGACGTTGGCCGTTAGATCTTCGTTTAATCTGTCTATCGGGTCGATCTTATCCTCTGAATTCAATCTGGTAACCCTGGAAAGCGTCAGAGCCTTCCCCTGTGATGCGACACTTCGCTACATCGCACTTTTCGGGGAAGGACAAATCGCATAGTGTCGCGCACGAGCAACTCTGGGTTGCGTGTCCAGGTGATCCGACTTGAGAAACAGAGCCCAGCCCAAACCAAGCCGTTTGCCGAAACTCGCCTCTGTTAAAGCCGTCCAGGTCGAGCCTGGGGCCGGCATATCAACGGCATTCAGAGAAGCCAGCCCGAACCTAGAATGTGAGGCCTCTACTGACCGCCAGCTAGGTCAGGCAAGCGATCAGATAGGTACAGTATCTCAAGGAACCCAATCGTCTTCCGTGATTGGTGCATTCTCTGAAGCCTACCCCTCTCGGATACTACCTCCATCTTTACGTAGCCACCACCAGGGCTCTCGGTATCAGGGTAAACATCCTGAAACTCAGGTACATTCCGTATGTTTTGTCGGTGAACCCTGATTCATCAGGACTGGTCTAGAAATCATCCGGAACATTTCCGGATGATTTGGCCGAGCATTCGAGAACTTCCGTATTGTTTTGAGAACAAACCTGAGATTTTAGCTCGGTACTAGTTTTTATGTGGGCTGTCGAATGCAACGATGCCTATAAGAGCTGTTAGACATGATGTAAGTGTTAGATTTGTTAGTCCTTGCCCATCCAACTTGGAATTTTTAGAGCCTCTTGCGCCTAGGGTGATGAACTGCAGTTGTGCATTTTCGGATTTTGGGAAAAAACACACGGACGCGGAAGGGAAACGTTCGAGGGAATGCTGATTATTCTGGGTCTTTTCTCAGGCGAGCCCGGAGCCTTCCATGCCTTCAAAAATGAAAGATTTGCCCTGGCCACCACGCCACTAAACACGGAATGTTGCAGGGAGAATATGCCGTTCGTAACCATCATGGGACTCGATAACATCTGTGGTAAAAACGGTCACTGCAAAGGGTATTTTCATGCGACTGATCAAACGTTTCACGTAATCAGCCACTATCAAGTGGTAAAAACAAAAAACGCGAATGGTCATAGATGGAACTCCCGCCAAAACAAAATGAAACCCCGAAAGAACCTGGATGCATTTTCAGATGAATCAACCCTAAACACATAACTCGACAGGTGTTTAGGGTTGATCCGTTCCCGAACCGCATCCGATTCCGATTGGGTTTTAGTTTTTTTAGAAGTTAGCAGATTGGTTGGGCGCGAGCGGGAATTTTGTTGAGTTTCAAGTTTTTTTGGCTGGAGTTACATGTGTGACCATTCGTGTGATTTTTTACCTGTTGTCAGTGACTGAATCCGTGACCCCACTTACCAAACCCGTCAGAAAACCCGATACAATGACCGTACGCGTGTTTTATTTCACCGTTCACGCTATCGAGTCCCAAGTTGGTTACTTATGGCATATTTTCCCAATGTTGCAGCCAAGCTGTATTTCGATGTCTGTACATTACATGCTTTTGCATCTTCCACTGTGGATATGTGAAAATGAGATATTACTCTGATGAGGGTTACTCACATTCAGCTAGCTTCGTTCTCGTGAACAATACGGACCATTAATAGTATATGCGATTTTCACGTATAAAAAACACAGTACATCCACCTGCTGGGAGATGTGCAATCTAATTCTCAGCTGCCAGTTCTCTTCCAGCCACGCGCATTCTACCTGCATATCTTGCTGCAACCCAAGGCGCCAACTCAGTCACCCCCGGTTGCCGCGGGTTCGAACGATAGTAATTGGACCAATGGCTCTGCAGCAAACTTGTCTTGAGCCCGCCTGTGGACGAATCGTACAGCAGAAATGGCAACCAGGGGTCATCTGAGCTCTGCTTCACACTACCACTGCTGCTGCTGCTGCTGCTGCTGCTGTTGTTGCTGCTACTGTTTCCATTGCTGCTACTCCTAGCAGCCTGTCGTCTCCGCTCTCTCTCACGGGGGTAGCACAGAGGGGCCTGCAGATACCTGCACGTGGGGACACACGAGCATGGACTTTGACACGTCTTAGGAGGAGAGGTGAATATGAGGACACAATTCAAAAGCTCTTGGAATGGCGATTTGGGGCTGCACATAAGTTGCTTAGCTGCATGATCGACCCACCTGATGCCATCCACCCACCTGATGCCATCAACCCACCTGATGCCATCCACGCAAGAGTCCCAGTGGAAGTGTGTGTGCCCGAACACGTGGCACGCTGTGGGGCTGCCACGTGGACCGTGCACGGCACGAACACGCACCTCCAGCCAATTGGAGCCCGCCATCTTGGCAAGATTCGGATACAGCAGCATGCGCTTCTCGGGGAGCAGATCGATCCTGAGGGGATTCGTAGTAAGGGGAAAGAGGGGGGGGGGGGGGGAGAGGGGGGTGTGGTTGGGAGGAAGAAGGGGAGCAGATAGCGCTATTTGGTTGGGGAAAATTCTCCCTGAGGGGAAGAGGATACAGCTGTCAGATTCCTATCCTCATTGTAACCTACTACATTAATCCTAACTTAGTTTGGGTGTAGAACTAGGGCTAACCCTAGTTGGGGGATGGAACTCAAACCTTGGCCCCCAAGGTTGGGTTGGGAATTATTGGTCCCCCCAATAATGTTGAACCACTTGGTCAACATTATTGGTCCCCCCAATAATCCCTCAACCCAACTTATTGGTGGGGGCCAATAATGTTGGCTTGGTTCCAACCAATCCCCCCCCTTTAGCACTACTATGTATACCCCCATCTCTCCTAATGATATCATTCCTTCTTCCTCAAGTATTCTCACAACAGCAGCATGCGCTTCTCGAGAAGAAGATCGATCCTGAGGGTATTGGAAAGGGGAGAACGAAAAAAGCTCTAGAGATTCGGATACAGCAATATGTCTTCTCAGTACAGCAGCATGCGCTTCTTGGGGAGCAGATCGATCTTGAGGGGATTGGGAGGAGAGGGGGACACAGTGGGTGTAAGGGAGATTTAAAGGGGGGGGGGGGGGTAAGCAGCTTGAGAGAGTCAGATACAGGTGCATGCTCTTCGCAAGGAGCAATTCATTTCTTCGGGTATCAAGAGGAAGCATGCGCTTCTTAGGTCAGAGGCCATTTTTGAAGGGATTGGAAGGTGTGCAGAAAGGTGAGGAATGTTGAGGGGTGGCGAGGAGAAATGGAGGCGGGGAAACAGCTGTAGAGGTTGGGAGACTTGAAAACCCTAAACAGCACACCTGCATAGACATCAACGCAAGCACGCGTACTGCACACCTGGGAAGGAAGTGAGAGAAGGAGATGATCTGCACGCCCTCTGCTCCACTGCCCTCCACACTCCCCTCTGCTCCACTGCCCTCCACACTCCCCTCTGCTCCACTGCCCTCCACACCACTGCCTCCCAGAGGCACAGCAGCACTGCCCTCAGGCGCACGGGGCGAGACAGGAGAAGATGTGGTCGTGCTGCTGCCGGTGTGGCTGCTGTATGTGGTGCTGTTGTTGCTCAGAGCAACTTGGGAGCCACTGCTGCTTCCAAAGCCGACAGCAACGGCAGTGGCAGTGGTGGTGACAGTGGTGGTGGCAGTGGCAGCAGTAACAGCAGCAGAAGCCAACGCACGGGTGTGATGTGCTGCCACCTGCTCCTTTGATGTCACCCGCTGCTGCTGCTCTGCCTTCTGCTGCTGCTGTGCTGCCACCTGTTGCTGCTGCGATGCAGCCTGCTGCTGCTGCTCTGCCTTCTGCTGCTGCTTCTCTGCTTTCTGCTGCTGCTGTGCTGCCACCTGTTGCTGCTGAGATGCCACCTCCTTCTGCTTTATTGCTGCCTGCTGCTGCTGTTCTGACTCCTGCTGCTACTGCTCTGCCCTCTGCTGCTGCTGTGATGCCACCTCTAGCTGCTTAAATGCTTCCTGCTGCTGCTGTGCCGCCCTCTGCTGCTGCTGTGCTGCCCTCTGTTGCTGCTGCTCTGCCTTCTGCTGCTGCTTCTCTGCCTTCTGCTGCTGCTGTGATGCCAGCACCAGAGCAGGAAACACATGAGGGTGCTGTGCTCCCAGCTGCTGCAGCGGCCGCTCATTCATGCTGTCAAAATGGGCTGCCAAAGCTTCACCTCCGTCCCCGAGAGAGTGCAAGGGTGAGGAGGAGTGTGGTGCGGTGACGTGCGGTGAGGAGGAGGAGGAGGAGGAGGAGGAGGAGGAGGAGGAGGAGGAGGAGGAGGAGGAGGAGGAGGAGGAGGAGGAGAAGGATGAGGGGGAGGGCGAGAGAGGAGGGGAGTGAGAGGGAGTGAGGTGGGGCGGCCAGACACACACTCGGTAGTCCATGCAGGCCTGACGGGGCACAGAGGGGAATACAGGCAAATTAAGACGAATAGAGACGAATAGAGACGAATAGAGACGAATAGAGACGAATGGAGGTGAAGAGAAGGGAATAGAGGCGAATAGAGACGAATAGAGACGAATAGAGGCGAACAGAGATGAATAAAGACGAATAGAGACGAATAGAGACGAATAGAGACGAATAGAGACGAATAGAGGCGAATAGAGGCGAATAGAGACGAATAGAGGCGAATAGAAACGAATAGAGGCGAATAGAGGCGAATAGAGGCGAATAGAGGCGAAGAGAGACGAATAGAGGCGAATAGAGGCGAATAGAGACGAATAGAGGCGAATAGAGACGAATAAATGCGAATAGAGGCGAATAGAGGCGAATAGAGGAGAATAGAGGCACACGGAGACAAAGGCGAGGAGAGGCGAGGGAAGGCAAGGGAAAAGGAGGGGAGGCGGAGTGGCCCACCTTACGCAGTGATGGCAGTCGGAGGTTCGGAATGTCAGGCTCGGTGTCGAAGCTCTGCACACGTGAGGCGACAGAAGAGCACTCGTGAGGGAGCACAGGGGAGCAGACAGAAGGGGGTGTAAGCAGTGGTAGCACGAGCTGAATGCACAGCACACATATCCCTTCTCTACACATGTCCCTTCTCTACACATGCTCTGTTACCTGGTGGTGCCACGACCAGAGCGGAACAATCCAAACGTCGCCAACCCGCATGGGCTCTGTGCGCACGCCCCACTGCTCGCAGCACTGTAGCACCTTTGTCAGCTTGTGCAGGGAGGTGAACAGCTCGGGGGAGGCCGGCACTGAGGAAGGTGGAATGGGGGAGGCCGGCACTGAGGAAGGTGGAATGCCGGCCGGCAGTTCACCTCCTTTGCCCCCGGTGTTGCTGTGCTGGCTGTGCCGCTGGTGGTCTTGATTGCTGGGCTGGGTGTGCTCGCTGTGCTCGCTGTGCTGCTGGTGCTGGGTGTGATGGCTATGGTGGGTATGGTGGTCGTGGTGGCGGCACCAGAGCTCATGGTTACCAGGGATGAAGAACACGTGGTGGAAGGCGGATGTCAGCAGCTGGAAGGTGCGCGAGAGGACCTGCGCGCCACGACAACGAGCAGAGGGATTTGCATGGAGAGATATATATACAGGCGAGTGGTTTAGAGGGACGGACATCAGATTTGCTGACTGGAGCGACGGGAGAGTGGCTGGCTCGAGGAAATTGCAAAACATGCTGCAATGAAAAGTCTACAAAACTTGCACCCAGGGACTCACCTGATGACTCACCTGACGACTCCCCTGAAGAGGCACCTGCCGACTCACCTGACAATTCTCCTGACGATTCAGTTGATGACTCACCAGACTGACATCCAAAAACCATCAAGAACAACCTCACCTCGCAAGAGGACTCCCAATATGATACTACGCCAACTGATTTTCCACCTCAAAATTCACCTGAGAACTCACCTGACGACCCACCTGACCTCGAGATTGTCCGTAACGTCGCCTGCCAGTATAAGTACGTCTCTCCCCTTCCTAGAACCTTCCGACCTCTGACATGTCGCCGCCAGCCGTTCCACCCACTCCATGTTTTCCGCGTGATCCGTGTGGATGTCTGACACCACGTAGACACGTGTCACCTCCTGCGTGCCACGTGGCGAACGATCAGGCTCATCCTGTTCGCTCATGCTGCAAAGGTGTCCAGGGACGGAAATCCTCGCTAAGAGCTGTTTCGATAACGGTTTCCGGCGAAGCCGACCTCTGAGAGTGTTCGATAAGCGTGAAACGAGGATAGATCGTCGGCTTAGTGAATTGGAGGCAGATCGAAGCTCCGATTCGCGAAATTTTTGAGTCACCGCTCTGCACAGATAATAATCGCAACTTGAGCTCGCTGCGCCGGCGAGAGTACGCTGAGAGAGAGAAGCAACGGACAGCGCCGAACTTTCAGGCGAAAAACTAAACGTCCTACTGTAACTTAACCTAATAGAATTCACGGTACTACTGAATTCCGCTGACAGTGCTGGTGAACGTTCAGCCACGAAAGGCTTGGAAAGACCTTCGCCGCGAGCTCTGGGCCCGCCGAAGCAATAGCGGTGGATTACGCAACGGCTTCGGACACGTGTCAGAATCCTGGCGGCGCATGGCAAGGAAATCGACGGTGATGGGTCCGTGAGTGAGCCAGGGCGCAAGGTGCGAGAATCGGCGAGCATTAGAGTTGCGAATGAAGTGGAAAGGACTAAGCGGGCTGAATAGTACTGGGGGTTGGGATGGGAGTAGGAGAATGAAGGGGAGGGGATATACGTAGCGCGTGCGGATGTCTTTAGGACCTGTCTTTCTACTGTCGATTCCGAATGTTATGAACGAGGTATGTTGAATCTGTATGCGGTTCGTTGGTTGGCTCCAACCAAACTCGACATGGTGGTCTCGTTACTCGCAGTCGGTGAAGGAAACCAACTTTAGACAAACTTGCACTCGAGCTACAAAAATTACTACCCTGGGAAGCAAAAGCATTTACACTTTCAGCAACAAGTAAATTGTGAAAGTACTGTGCACTCCTAGCAGTAGCAATGAAGCACGCATTAAAGAGTACGAAGGCGAAAAGATGGATTGAAGCGGCGGGTCGCGTACGGTTACGAAGGATCTGGACCGTCAGAGCAGATAGCATCAGGCAGTTTTAGTGGCAAGGATTATGCGAGGAAGAGTTCGTAACCGTCTGGAGTCGCATGGTTGGATTTCGATGTAATAAGGGATTGTACCCCTTATAGTACATAGCTAGTCTAGGTCGTTTTGTATTCCCCTGTACTCTTATTTATACGAATGTATTTGCATGTTTTTATTATTTTAGTCATTTTAAATCCACTCTGCCCTGACGTCAATCTTCCGCTGCAACACACACACTCTCTCAGGTCTCCACCTCCCCTCATTCACTACCAACTTGGTGAATAACGTTGTCCTCCAGGACCAGTTGGTCACTACCACTACTCCTGGGGTTGAGCTTGTGACGATCTGTACGGACTCACGGACTGGCGCCTTCGTCGCCACGTTCACTCAGAGACCCGGTCTGGCCTGTAGACACTGACCACTGAGTCTGCACATGTAGCTGTGTCAGGTCAGGTGGCTATGTCAGAGGTCTACTGGTGATCCCCGATTGATCCTAGGGAAGGGTTACAGGCTCGTTGTCCTGGGGGGTTATGGGCGCACTGACCCGCTACTTAACAAGCCCTTTTATCCCAATGGTCTAGTGGTTGGGATTCTGACAGGCTACGTCGGGTCAGTTAGCTGCGTCTTGTTCGTATCGCCTTCTCACGCACCGGTCTCTCCTTTGGCACCACCGTCTTGGTCACCCCTTCCTGCCGCGTCTACGTGGCATGCACTTTCGTCTCTTTGTCTCTGGCCTCCCCAAGTCCCTACCCCCGCTCCCGAGATCACTTGCACCGCCGTGCCTTCCCTGCGTCGAGGGGTAGCAGCGCGCCGCTCCTCACTCCTCCTCGTTTCCTCTGACCACTGCTCCTCTGCAGACTCTCCACATGGACATGTGGGGCCCCGCCCGCGTCTGTGGACAGAACCACGAGCGCTACTTTCTGCTGGTTGTTGACGACTACATGCGCTACACCAAGGTCTTCCCCTTGCAAAGCAAGGCGGATGTCTGCGTTGTCTTGATCCCCTGGATCCGCACTGTTCGTCGCCAGCTGAACGCACGGTTTCAACAGGACTTTCAGGTCATGCGACTGGACTCTAACAGAGGCGGTGAGTTTTCCTCCCGCCTCCTTGAGGACTTTTGTCGTGCGGAGGGCATGGCCCAGTCGTTCACGCTTCCGGACTCTCTATAGTAGAATCGGATTGCTGAGCATTGCATTGGCTTGATCATGGAGGTTGCTCGCACCTCCATGATCCATGCGGCTGCTCCCTATGTTATGTGGCCATTTATGGTCCGATACGCCTCGCATCAGCTCAACCTCTGGCCTCGTGTCTCTGTGCCAGAGACCTCGCCTACACTGCGTTGGACGGGGGAGGTTGGCGATGCGTCGGCGTTTCGGGTCTGGGGCTCGCTCGCCCTTGTCCGCGATCCTACCGCGGGCAGACTCTCTCCTCGCACTCTCCACCGCGTCTTCCTTGGCTTTCCCACCAACGCCCCGCCCTGGCAGTTTTACCACCCTGCCTCCCGCCGCGTCCTGTTTTCCCAGGACGTCACATTTGACGAGTAGGTTTGCTTCTACCGTCTCCATCCCCACGCGTCTTCTCCTGTCCCCCCGCCGCCCCTCTTCTTGTTCCAGGTCCCCCCTTGGTAGACCCCCTCCCCCCACAGGGTCCTGCTACCTCAGGTGTGTCTCAGGTCGACCCACCCCCCTTGGTTGAGCCTTTGGAGGTCTTCTCTGACACCTCTGGCCCAGCTGAGGGGGGTGACCCGGCTGCTGAAGACACAGCGGCCACTCCCCGCTCCCCGCGTTTGGAGAGCCCTCCTGGTTTTTCGCCTCGGCCGTCTTTGTCGCCTCCGCAGCCTATCACTGTGGACTCCGGTGCTGCTGGGGGTGGTGACATTGGGGGTGCGGGCTTTGGGGTTCCTGGTCCTTGGGGTGCTGACTCTGGAGGTGCTGGTTCTGGGGGTGCTGGTTTTGGGGGTGTTGTTTCTGGGGGTGCTGCGCGTCCTAGTGGTGGTGGAATCGTGGGTGCTCCTGTTGGAGGTTATGGAGTTGCTGGTATTGGAGGTGCTGGAGTTGCTGGTACTGGCGGTGATGGAGCTGGAGGTACTTGAGCTGCTGGCACTAGAGATGCTGGAGCTGGAGGTACTGGAGGTGCTGGAGCTGGAGGTGTTGGAGGTACTGGAGCTAGAGGTGCTGGAGGTACTGGAGCTTCTGGTGCTGGAGGTGCTGGAGCTGGAGGTGTTGGAGCTACTAGAGGGACTGGTGCTGGAGGTGCTGGAGCTGGAGGCTCTGGTACTGTGGGTACTGCACACCGACGACCGTTTTTCTTTCCGCAGCCACAGTCGTCACTGCCACCACCTGGCTCGACACTTCGCCAGGTTCTTAGTCTTCCGTCTTCCACTGGCCCAACTCCACCTCTCATGTGTCCTCCGCCGGACCAGTCACAGCTGCTGTTACTGCATGGCTGCCCACTGCTTGCTCCTTCTCCTTACCCTGAGCAGACAGACTCCCTAACAGAGCGACGTGAGCATGAGTCTCGTCCTGCCTCCCCTGTTCACACTGTCAGTCGTACTAGTTGTCCTCGTCCTTCACCAGTCCCCAGCGCACACTATGGCACTTCGTCCTTCCTCTGTTCCACAGCGTGTTGCCCTGTCGTCTCCTCCGCCTTCCTCTCTTCCTAACGTTCCTGACCCTGAGTCTGACCTTACTCGTGCTGCTAGTCCTACTGTCATGCGCTTCCTGGTCACACTTGTCACACATTTGAGTCTACTGCTACATCTGCCTCAGTCACTGAGCTCATTGAACTTGTTGCTACCTGTCGTCTAGACTACTTCGCGAGTCTTATTACTGTGTCTGAGTCTAGCTGTCCTCCGTCCATTGGGGGTGAGCTTGCCTTTGGCTGTGACGTCCTTGAGGACAAGCAGTCTGAGCTCGAGTGCCTCGCGGCTGCTGTACCTCATCTCGCTTCCATGCTACTTTGCCCTGAGGGAGACCCGGATGCACTAGACATCCCAACCCCCCTCTCTTACGCAGAGGCGATCACGGGTGAGTACTCCTCTCACTGGCAGACAGCCATGGATGCAGAGATGGCTTCCTGGAAGTCCACAGGCACCTACAATGACGCACTTCCCCCTCCTTGGGCGAGCATAGTCGATGGCATGTGGATTTTCAGAGTTATGCGACCGCCGGGTTCTCCGCTTGCCTTCAAGGCGTGTTACGTTGCACGAGGCTTCAGTCAACGTGAGGGGGTCGACTTCTTCCAGACCTTCTCCCCCGCCCCAAAGATGACCACCATTCGGGTGTTACTGCACGTTGCAGCACAGCGTGACTACGAGCTTCAGTCGCTTGATTTCAGCACATCTTTCTTGTAGGGCAGCCTTCACGAGGAGATCTAGCTGTGCTGCCCACTTGGCTTCACTGGGTCGTATTCCGAAGGTACCCAGTGGAGCCTTCGGTGGCCAGTCTATGGTCTCTGCCAGGCTCCCCGCGAGTGGCATGACACACTGAGGACCACACTTGCGGCTCTTGGGTTTGCGCCTTTGACTGTTGACCCGTCGCTGTTTCTATGCACCAACCCTTCTCTGACTTCTACATCCTAGTGTACGTCGAGGACTTGGTTTTTGCTACTGCCGACACTTACGCACTTGCCCTTGTGAAGTCGGAGCTGCAGAAGAGAGACAACTGCACCGACCTGGGTGAGCTGCGCAAATATTTTGGCTTGCAGATCACCCGGGACAGAGCAGCGCGAATCATCAATCTGACTTAGTCACACATGGTGCACTAGGTCCTTTAGCACTTCCGCTTTCAGTTCTCCTCGCCGCATTCCACTCCTCTGGCCGTGAACCACGCGCTCTCAGCTCCACCTTTGGACGAGTCCGTAGAGGCGAATGGTCAGTATCCAGAGCTTGTGGGCTGCCTCATGTACCTAATGACCTGCATTCGTCCAGACCTCGCGTACCCTCTCAGCATCCTGGTGCGCTACGTTGCGCATGTGAGACACCGACCAGAGCACTGGCGGGCTGCTAAGAGGGTGCTGCATTACTTGT